TGTGGTGCTACAGGGCAAAATTAGCATGCTTGACTGGAAGTAGATAATGAGGGAAGATTTATGCCATTATAAGGAAGGACTCTGTAACCACTTGAGCCAATTCAAACTAAAGAAAGGACTGTTTTGGGAGACCATGAATTACCTCACTCTTGACAGGAATATTCCCAAGGAATGTCATATATTGGGGCGGGTGGGAGACTTAACTAGATCAATGCTTCTCAGACTTTAATTGCATATGAATCACCAGGGACTTATCAAAAATGCAAATTCTGATTCAGTAGTTCTGGGATGGGGGCTGAGAGACTGAATTTCTAACAAGCTCCAAAGTAATGCCTATCATGCTGGTATGTGGACCACACTCTGAGAACCAAGGAACTAGATACTTTTAAGATCACTTCTCACTACTGAGAGTCTACAATTCTCATCGAAAAATGCACTTCAGGAACCTAGAAAGCAGTTATATCTTGGACTTTCCTTATAAAAATGTCAGTGTTTGAGAGCATAAAGGAAGCAGGAGCATGCTTGGAAATGGAAGCAGGAGTACTCCAAAACTCAGTCAGTGAATGCATGTTTTAAAAGAACTGCTCTAGGGATGCCTGGGTGGCTCAGTCGGTTGAGCGTCTGCCTTTGGCTCAGGTCGTGATCCTGGGATCGAGCCCCTCATCGGGCTCCTTGCTCAGCAGGGAGCCTGCTTCTCCTTCTCCCACTCCCTCTGCTTGTGTTCCCTCTCTCACTGTGTCTCTCTCTGTCAAATAAATAAAATCTTAAAAAAAATAAAAAATAAAAAAATAACTGTTCTAAAGAAAGATTGTTGATAAATACTTGCACATGACTACATTTAATTATCTACTTTCACTAGAAACACCAATAATTTTTAATATTTGGAATTAATAGCATGTATTTCTTCAATTTTAATAATTCAATTCTATATTGAAGTCAAAACTCTGTCTAGTTTATTCAACCAAAGTCCTTCGTAATTATTCATCCACCTCAAAGTCTTTCCATGTACACACTTTGCTTTATTTTTCTCTTACTTCCTTTTCTGTAGATCAGAGCTTTCCAAATGGAATTATAGACGTCCTTCAAGATATTTGTCTTCTCAACCATTGGGAAGGCCATGCAAATAGCTTTATCCTGGGCTCCTAAGAGAAAGACCCAACTAGATTGGCATTTAGGCAATCATGATTATTACTCATTGGTCTGGCCTCAGGGTAGTGGGCTCAACCTAGCTGAGTGTCTAGCACCTTGATACCTACTTCAGCAGCTTGCTGCAAGCATGTCCCTTTGCATCATGAGAAAGGGATCTGTGGATTTGCTGAAGGAATTCTTGTTCTACATGCTTAATTAGCATAGCATGCCTACCAAAATTTGGCCATAGAAGAACAGATAATGAGAAAGAAAGCCAGGAGCTCCTGGTAGGTGTATCTTCCCCTACATTAAATACTTTTACCCATTTGTGGCAATGTAGATGCATGATAACATCTCTAAAGGACATGTATTTTCTAATTTAGAATTTCAGTATTATTTTGTAATACTTGACATATAAAATCTAGGTAAATTTTAAATATATAGCATCCCCATGAAATTCTAATGGTAAATTTGGAAAGGAAATAAACAAAAGAATTGCTATATTTAAAATCAAATGTTGAAAAAATTTTAATGGTTGTAAAAGTTGTTTCAAAATTTTTATTCTCTACTTGTGCAAATATAATTTTTTTTGTTGACAGCAGCTATAAATAAATTTGAAAACATCATTGTTAAAATGTTTTGATTAGAATGATATATAAGCTTTCAAACACAAAAACTGAGACAAAAAGTTATATTGATGAAAGTATATTCATATTTCTAAATTTAAGGTTATCTACATTTAATTTTATATCTTTCTTTAAAAAATCTATTTTATTTTCTTATCAAAATTCTATCATAGGGAAGATAATGTAATGAATCTCTCTACAGAATTCCGTACATATGGCCCCAAATTTCCCTTAGTTTACTCGTTTGCCATACAAATATTGCTATTTTCTATGTTGGGAAACACTGCAATAGGTAGATTTGCTTCTATAATATGTTCTTTTACCAAGCATCTTCTACTTAAATCACAGACTAATTAATTACAAGCTAGTGTTAATATATAGTTACTGTTACTCAAAGGAAAACAAGTACATATACATAACAACTAAAATTGTTAAGCCTAAATTACTTCCTTACTCCTCCTATGCAACTTGAAAACATTGGGATATTGTTCTGAAGGGTTAGCAATGTTCTTTTCCTTGACCTGAATGGTTACACAGTGTTCACTTTGTGACAAATCATGGCACACATTGTTTTGTGCCCTTTAGTGTACGTATTTTATTTCATAGTAACAAAAGTTTTTAAAATTTTTGTTTTCTAATACTAAAAAGATATGGTGATTATAGATCTCTGAGTATATTCTTACTTCCTGCTTATACTAGCCTTGGTTTTATTTCTCTCCAAGAAAACGTAATAAATGATTAACTTTATCACTCGGCAGTTGGGGAGGTCATGAAAGGCATAACACTCACTGGATAATTCATAATAGAAACACAGTTTCCTTCAGTTTCTGAATTATCCTGTTTTTATATAAATTAATCAGATGAATCTAATGCTATTCAAACCAACTTAAAGGTGATAAATGGCTCTTTTAATTCATGGTATAAAATACAACACTGATGGGCCGGGAGGTTATTACTATGATGCACAAAGCAGAATAGGGCTAGCCCTTGATACGACAAAGATGAATTCTATACCTATTTGCATCTTTAGCTTTGGCAAACATTCACTTCTTCTGCATCCCAGAAATTGTGGCAAATAAGGTCCATAAGATAAATTGAGGCAATTTCAAAACAAATTACTGAGAGTATTTATACAGTTTGGATGGGAATATTCTGCTTTTGCTGTGAGAATTTAGTTTACCCTATTAGGCATATCAATCAAATGTTTACTCTTCGTTTGTACAGTGCTCAATTTAACACAAATGCCCCATTAATGTGACACTCATTGCCAATGCTCTGCCAAACTGATTTACTTGAACAATAGTAAGAAAGGGGTAAATATATTCCTGCTGTAGCCATACCTACCTTTATTAAATATGTGCCGTGAGTTTCTTTTGCCTTGCTAGCACACAGTTAGCATCTGTCTGCTGTGAGAATGAAATACCCTAGAGAGCTTGAGGCCAAAACTTGGGCTGAGACATGAAAGGGAAAAAAAGAAAGCTCACCCAGCCATCAACACTCACACATGTGAATTTACAGAGCAGACAGAAGAGCTATTAATCTCAGCCCATTCAACACCATCTCATGTGAGAGTTACACAGTATTATTATACACTCAACTGGATCACTTGGCTTATTAACATTGACATTTGTTTTTGTTAAGCTTTATTTTTAAAGAAATTATCAATCTAGTCTACATTTCTGCAAAAATGAAAGCAAAGGAAGAATTATCACTACTCAGTCTCATCCTCCACCGAGTCTTATTTGCTTCCTGTAGAGAATATCTCTCACTTCCTTTCTCCTCAATCTCATATGCCTTCTTTCCAATCTTATCCTTCTTCTTCTTTCTCTGTAATAGGCTGCGCCCCCCGGTGGTTGGAAGCTTTTAAAAAAAGAAAAGGGAAGGAAGGAAGGAAGGAAGAAGGAAGGAAAAGGGAAAAAGAAGAAAGACCTTTCACAGACAAGACTTTTAAGCCTCCACAATTTCACTTTTGGGATGCGTCCAACATGCTCGATGCAAGTAGTCACGATCAGGAACCTAACCACAGTTCCCCCCTGCAGTCAATTTCCTATTTTTTTCTATTTAAAAGAGGGGAAAGACACAGATCAGATAAGAAACAGCTTGGTTCTGGCTAGTTGCAAAAAGACAGCAGTTTCTGAGGCTCAAACCGAAGGGCCGCTCTGGCCACAGCCGCGTGTGGCGCTGTCCATTCTTTAGTGCTGAATAGTACGCACTGGGGCTTTTCCAACCTGGTTCAACCCCTGAGGCTTGAGATAGGTTCAGTCAGCCAAGGTAGACTGAATCCATTTTCGGGGTCTGTGTGGGGGTGGGTGGGAGGTGCGGGGGGCCATTTAGACTTTTGCTAGTTCTCTTCCCACGAAAAAAACGTTCTTCCACAGAGTGACACTGTGCATTTTATGGAAAAGTAATGACACAGCTTCAGCTCAAAACCAAAGTGAGGAGCTCTACTGAAGAAAAAATCAAAAGTTCAGAGTTAATGAAACCCGCTCTTTCTCTCCCTGAGTTAACACAACAGGGTTTGTGTCCCTAGACACCCTTGTTGATGGTTAAAGAAAATAATTTTCTTTTAAAAATCATGTGATTAATCATTTTCAGATGAGCACAGTAAAGGGGGGGGTGATACTAGGCTTTGCAATAACTAGAATAGAATTTTAGATATCGTTTTACTAAGTTGAGAAAGTGAGGAGAGGAGGAACTAAACTGGGTTTTTTTTTTTTAGGTGGTTTCAATGTTAGTTAAAAATACATTTTTAAAAGTATTGCTTTAACAATGTCTTCCAGACGTGCTTATTTTCTTAGGCAATTTAGATCAGAATCTGGGCAATAGAAGCTTCCCTCCTCTCTGCTCTACCCGTCTCTGTCCAATTTCAGACTTAAGACCCCTGTTCTTCACAGCAGGGGCTGATATCCACAGGGCTATTATAAGAGTTCACCCCCCTCCCTGCCCCCCAACCCATGAGATAATTAAGTAAATGTAAAGAAAACGGACAGGAGGAATCACAGTGTACTGTAACTTCCAGCCTTTGGTTCTTGGTAGTAATATTCAAATAGGGACACTTCTCTTTGAGAAGTGAAGGTGTTTCTCATGGCTACAGAATTTACAGTCAGTCAGGGAGCCGACTTAACTGATCCCAGCAAACGGTTCCTTCCTTTCCTTAATCCTTCTCTGCTTATTTTAGCCGCTTCTCCACCCCGCCGGGAATACCATCCAGATCTTAGTCCAGGTAGATCTGACGTCAAGAGATGGCTTTCGTCGATTTGACGTGTAAACACTCATTTCCATTCCGGCTTGGAAGGGCTGGGGCTCCACTCAGCCAGGAGACCAAAGAGCGCTCGCCACCGCCCAGCCTCTCCTCGCGCGCCTCCTATCTCTTAGCAGAGCCACCGGGAGCGAGAAGTGGTCCAGAGTCCGAGGGTGAAAAGGGCTAGTGTTTCTGGCTTTTCTCCTTTCTTGCTTCTTTTCTTGCTTCTTTCCCCCATCTCCTTCCGACTTGTGTGCAAGCGAGTGTGTGAGCCATGGAGCGAAGAGCCTGGACTCTGCAGTGTACTGCTTTCGCTCTCTTTTGCGCTTGGTGTGCACTGAACAGTGTAAAAGCGAAGAGGCAGTTTGTAAATGAATGGGCGGCGGAGATCCCCGGGGGACCGGAGGCAGCTTCGGCCATAGCGAAGGAGCTGGGCTATGACCTTTTGGGTCAGGTAAGAGTTTGCACTTTCCAGAAACTTTCTGGGGCCCACGGGGACTGGCGGGACTGACGCGCGATCTCCCAAGTGGAAGCCCCAGGTCGCACTCTCCTGAGCCCCGTGGCAAAGAGCAGAAGCTTCTGCAGCTCTCGCCCCTGGCGCGCTTGGAGAAAGAAGGCTTGCATTATTTATTGTTTGGGCTGGAAGCAGCCAGGCAGAACGAAGCCGCTGCAGCTGGGTAAAGCTTATTCTTGCTGTCGTCCGCTTTGGCATTTAAATCCATTCCCGCGTGGTTTGGGAGAAAAATCCCTCCACGCTTGTTCGCCGAACTTGAGATGCACGCAGGCTCTTACCAACCAAGCGCCCCCGGGAGAGGCATTGCGCTCTGTCCCCTGGGACTCAGCTGGTCTCTGCGTCAGGAGCCGGCTGTTTCCTTTTTTTTTTTTTTTTTTTTTTTCAATATGGCAGCATCAGATCTAAATCCTGATGCAAGGGGTCAAATAGGCTTGGTGATGTTCGCCCGCGGCCTTTCGGGCACGCCCAGGGCATTGGAAGAGCGCCAGAGGCCCGGACTCACGACCCAGAGGCTGGGGGCCCGAGGAGTGGCCTGGGGAGGGGCCGGGAGAAGAGGTGGGTGAAAGACACGGGACCAACTCCCCTCGCCTCTACTGGGAGGTTCGGGTCTTCACCGGGAACTTGCAAAGTCTGAGCTTCACAACTTTGCTGGGTCAGTCCCCCTGAAGGGTCAAGCTGCCGAAATGACTGTGGGGAAAGGTTTTCTTTCCTTCTTGTTATTCAGCCAAATGCCTAATAGCTTCCCCGAGGGTTTCAGCTTGTGATAAAAACTTGCCTGTCCAAGGGAGAGCTGGTTTAATAGATAGCTGGGGGGAGGGTAAGGGCGTTAAGGCAATACTAGAGTGACAGGTTAGGTGTGCGATTCCCCGGGGGGGGGGGAACCCCAGGGGGTGTGATTTCTAATCTAAGCTTTCCTTTTCCTTGGCTCAGAATCAAGCCCTCGCCCCTTGCCTTGGAACTGTGCCTCAAAGCGGGGGAGGAGGGAGTTGTAAAACATTTTGGCGCGTTTTTTCTGGAGGTGGTTGTAGAGATGCCGCTGAAGTCACGGATGAGTAATCGCCGTGGGCGTTGGCGATTCCATAGATCGAATCCGCTGGGGAATACACCTCTCCTTGCCAGAGGCTTCATTCCCCAACTTTACCAGCCAAATTGTCTTTAAAATGCCCAGCAGAAAAGACAATACGCAGATTGACTTCTCCGTGTCCCAGGAGCCGAACAAGACTTTTTGCTTTTGCCCAGATTTTGTTCTGTGCCAGGCTCCGTGTTAGGGGCTGAGGAATAATGGGAGGAAAAGCAACTTTCAAGGAATCAAGAATCTAGAGGAGACTGGTTTAGTAACAAACAATTGGAATTGCATGTAATTGCTGTAATAGAAATTGCACCTGGATTCTCAATATTTGTTGATTGAGGGATTGAAGAGGGACATGAATTGAGGAGTGAAAAAAAGACAGCCCAGGGGAGGAAACATTTGCCGAGGGTTAGGAAGAAGAGTCAAGTTTGCCAGGAGAACATGGTGAGATTGTAGAAGGCACTCAAGGCATAGAAAACAGATGGTAGGAAACAAGGAAGATACAAAGAAAGCAGCTTAGAAGAAACTGCAAGGAATTGTTGGGATCTGAGGAGAGTGTGAGCAGTAGGTGGAATTGCAATGGTAGCTCCTGTGGGCATCATGGAAATCTCGTGTGTCCTAAGGAGGGAATAACTGGGGAATTAATCCTATATCCTTTGGGCAGCTAAATAGCACTGGTAACTGTGTGGAAAGAGATTGGATAAGAGAGCAAAAATACCCCTTTTTTCTTTTCTCACCTGTTAGCCCCAGACATATTTCCAAACCTGGACCATTCATTATGGGAATTGCTTTCAAAATCACAAATCCCAAACCAAAAAATAATAAATCAGTATTCTTGGTAGGATCTTCAAAGAAAGGAAGGAATGGTCACAAGAAACTTTAAGAAATAGTGGGGGGGAAATCTGTATTTACATATGATTTGCATGTGCTATATTTTCTCTAGCCATTTCCAGCTAAAATGGCATTACTAACAAGCATTTTTAAAATAATTATTCTTTGTAAAAGATTGATAGTGCTTTGATTGTTTATTTTTCCCTTTGTTTGCAGTAATTTAGCTACCCTGAGCTCCTGAAGGCCTCAGGATAAAGACAGAATTAGAGAGGTGACCAGAAGCAAAACCAGTTGACAGAGGAAGAGCTAAACCTTGATGATCTTTTCTTAGGGCTACTTTTCCCTCTCCCCAGCTCCATGTATGGAGCGCCTTGAATTAGTGGAAAGTCAAATGTTCTCTACTAGTAGCTGATAACAATTATCACTATAGCTTCAATGGCTATATTTTATAACAATGACAAATCATTTTAGCTGAATGTAACCCTGACCATATAGAGTACCCAAAGGGTTTGCTAGCTTTCCACAAACTATTCTTCTCTGACAGGATAAAGTGGGATTTTTTTTTTAAAGAATTGTCTACCTACACAATATTGTCACACAGAAACAAATTTAGTTCCCCTGAAATCTGTGAAAAAGAGATATCACTAGCCCCCAAGTATACAGTGAGCCCAAGTGATAATAATGTAAGCTCAACTTACTTAACACAGTGACAAGAGAGCGAAGGCTTCTATCAGTGTCTTCCTCATAAAGAATGGGCTTAATAAAAATTGCCTGTCTCTAAGTTGCATGGGTTTCAATCTAACCCATATGTACTTATTTTGGATAAAGTGGATTTTTAATATTTTTTCCTTTATAGATTGGATCACTTGAAAATCACTACTTATTCAAACATAAAAACCATCCCCGAAGGTCTCGAAGGAGTGCCCTTCATATTACTAAGAGATTATCTGATGATGACCGTGTAAGTGTTGTGCATTTGTCTTCAAACTAATAACCTGACTTATCTGCTTTATGATTTCCAACAAGAGCAAAAAACACTTTGCAAATGTGATTATTTTTTATTGTGGTCACAATTATCTGTCTGTAGTGTTTCTTGTTATTTCTATAGGGTTATAATTCTATAGGAATATAACCACAAGGCACATAATAATAACTGGATTGGACTGGATAGACCAAGTTAAATAAATTTTATATATTATGTAAAAATATATGTTTAAAATATTAGCTCACAAATCGAGACAAAGAACATGAAAATGAATATTGAAAATTAAATTGCAGCTCTAATAAAAATATTTGCCAATACAATCAATTAACAACCTTTTATTATATGCCTATTATTTATGAGCACTTTAATGTCCAATGTGAGGATGCCAAAGAAATTTAACATATGAACATTGATTTTAATAAATTTCAGCATAACTGAAAACACATTTTACCATTTCTGTGTGGTTTGGTTATATGGGGAACTAGTGCTAATGAGTGAGCTTTAATTCCATGTCTTTATGAGCCAAATGTTTCCATAAGTATTGTATTGTTTCACTGAAAGCATTAGATCTCTTTTTACCCTGGTTTGTATACATATTCAATGATTAGGCAAGAGCAGGAAATGTCTAGAATGAATATAGGTAAATAGTGTGAGGACAATTTGAATGTATATCTAGTGTACCTATTGATTTTTGGAGTCTGTTTTCAAGATCAGCAAACATATCAATAGAAATGGTGACTATATTGGGAGTATTGAAATTTGCATACACAATGTTGCCTTTTCTCAAGAATGTGCCATACTGGTAGAAATTTATCCTGGCTGGCCTGTTTTCTGTTATCATGATTTCTGTTGCCTAGGACACTCCAGAGAATTATGGAAGCTTTGTGAGAGATAGGATACACCCTTTCAACTTGCTAGAAAGAAAATATAAGTGACAGAAAGGTGATAAAACTATTGAAAGTACATGGAATTTATAAACCCTGTGAAATAATTTGCTATTTGTTTTGTTCTTAAACTGATAGAATTTTAAAAGGAAGAATAAAAAGGCAAATTATCAGGGTAGAGAATGACTGGGCCTGGGTTATCAGGCACCACACCTAGGCAAAGAACGCTATATCAGGACCATGGACAGCGAACCACGGCTCCTAGGCACCCATAGCTAGCTTTTACTCAGGTTAGTGGCTAGATGTGTGAGACCAAATCAGAGGCTCAAGATTACTTGAAAAGTTTCTTGTCCAGTGAAATCTTCCTTTTGCCATCCCAAAGCAGATGACTCATTGTATGGGCTGTGAAAAGTAGGACAACTTCCAAGACTCTGGCTAAGCTTAGTCCTTGAGCAAAGCAAGAGATTTCCTTGTCTGCCTAAATGCATGCCTGACACTAATGCACAAGGAAGTCAAACTGACCTCCCTTCTCATCTTCACAGAAGAAAATTGGACAGAGTGGAGAAATACCTGTTATTATTACTACAAGTATCTCACTAAAGTGAACTAATGACCCAGTTCTATTTTCAGATATTTCTTTAATAGATGATTTTGGAGCAAAAATCTCAAGTGATAATGAAGAAAGGCTAAGAATTTAATCTCCAACATAACTTCATAAAAAAAAGAATCCATATAATCTTATGAAAAGTTATCCCCAGATTCATTTATTTTAGAAAAAATCCTAGAACCCATAGAAGCTAGCAGTGGAAAGTTGGACTAGATGATCTTTAATGCTCTTCCCAAATCAAAAGGATTATTTACATTTAAGTACATGATACCTATTACATACACAAAAGAAAGATACCACTAATTTCCTCTATTCATTTGGTCTGGTCTTATAGAGCTTAATATGGGATTTGGAGTTAATGACATTAATCATAACAGTTTCCAACAATTGAATGTTTATCTGATCAGATGGCAGACTGCCTCTTCTTATGTTCCCTTTTTAAAAAATTTCTTTTGATTTTCATTTTATTGCTCTTTTTTTTTGATGGGGGATAATATTCTTTCAAAATAGCCTTCTGAAATGCTGCAATAGGCTATCTTTACAAGTCTGTTAATAAAATCTCCAACTGTAAGTGACTCTCTCTATCAAAGATTAGTACTTGTTCCCTAGCAGCCAGCTTCCAAAGACCAACTCAGATGACAGGTTGTATATTACAAGCATTGAGGTATTTTAAGCCAAAACAATTAAGCTTGAACCTACAGGCTCTTTAAAAATAAATTATAGCAACTAATGTCTAGCTTTCAAGTCCCTCCCAATATTTATAATAGGTTTGCCATAGATTTTCTAATTGAAAATTCAGGACAGTCTTAGTGGATGGATTTATCCTTTAGCAACAAATTATTTTTTAGTTTTTATTTTTGGATCTGACTCATGAGTATTCTCACATTAACAACATCCCACCAGACACTGGACTGTCATCATGTGTACAACAGAGAGAATATGTTTTAGGTAAGAAACAGTCATGTTGCTCAGTGAAATAAGAGCATGGTATTATTACATAATGAATATAACCACAAGGCAGTCCCTCACCCTCTCAGGGTCTCAAGTATAATAGGATTATGCCACAAATGTGGGAAAGGTAATTTTTGTATTGTCAGATCTCTTTGCATAATACATGAGACTAAATTAATGGTAAGTGTGCATGGTCAGTAATACTCATTCATCACCCTGGATCTGTTTCTCATATTAAATACTCTTAAGCAGGAGCTTGAAGCACAGGGGAGCCAGAGTTTCAGATTTGCAAAGACACAGCACCTTTCTTGTCTGGCAGAACATTTGCAGTTTCTACCTTTTGTGTGTAAAGAAAGAGAAATTAAGCTGTAAGAGCACCACAACAGCAGTCTCTGGAATCTCTTCGCTTGTCGACTCATTACATGAAAATGGACAAATTTTCTGCTACAAAACCCTCAGACCGCAATAAAAAATCAGTATTATGGTCCACTTGCTGATTAAAGTAGGCTGAACTTTTACCTCCACTGGAATCATAGTGTAAATAATTTGAGGGAATCATCACTTCACTGATCCCTTCCCTTCCCCCTAAAGGTACAGTTTACTGTAATAGAGGAAATGTTCATTTCCCCAGTGGGCAATGCATTCTTCTCACTGAGCTGCCAGTTTGATCTGCAATCAAATGAAAACATTTTTGAACTGCCTCAACTCTGATGGGGAGGGTACTGGAGCTAGTTAGAGGGAAGATGGTTACACAGAGGTGACTATCTGACTGCTGATTTTCTTGCTATAAAACTCCTTGTAGGTAATATGGGCTGAACAACAGTATGAAAAAGAGAGAAGTAAACGTTCAGTTTTAAGAGACTCAGCACTAAATCTCTTCAATGATCCAATGTGGAATCAGCAGTGGTACTTGGTAAGTATTTACAGAAGGACTGTATAGGACGTGGGCTATTTACTTTGTTACATCTGCAAAATAGATTTTGTTTCTTAAATGATAGATAATTCAGTAGAGGGCTATGTTACCTGGAGATTAGGGCTGATGGTATCTTCCATGATCTGGATCTCCTGTTTTACTAGGTGAAAGTGTCTGAAACACAGATGTTTAGCCTCTATGAGAAGAAGGATTGTTACTTTCTTCTCTTAAGCTTATCTGGAGCAAATGCAGAAGAATCATGTCTTGCAAGTTAAGAGTTCCAAAACAGTAATCATGGCAAAAATCACATTTGGTCAGTTATTCTTGAGAACCTTTAAATCTCCAAAAGGCACAGTGAACGTGATGCAGTATATACAGCCCTGAGTGGCAATTCTTACACGCTAAAAGTGAGAATTTCTAAACCAAACTAAAGGAAGAAACACAAGGAGAGACAAAAGACATCTACAAGCAGATGTCTAGACTTGCAAACTGTTTTACTTTTAGGGATACCAAATCCTCATTGGTATGTGGGTGTTGAGTAGAGAAATTTTTTTAAAAGATTATTTATTTATTTATTTATTTGAGAGAGAGAGAGAGAGAGAGAGAGAGCACAAGAGGGGAGGAGGGTCAGAGGGAGAGGGAGAAGCAGACTCCTTGCTGAGCAGGGAGCCTGAGACGGGGCTCGATCCCAGGACCCTGAGATCATGACTTGAACTTGAGCTGAAGGCAGATGCTTAACTGACTGAGCCACCCAGAGCCCCCTGAGTAGAGAAATTTTAAGTGCCCCTTCTTGCCTGCAGAGTGTTCTCCCTTCCATTCTAATATTAAGGCTCTATGGCAGTAATACATGTTGATAGAAGTGTTTTCTTGTTGAGAATACTATAAAAGATAAGTTTTCATGACAACCATAAGCTAAGGCTTAGACGTCTTTGTTGCATAAAGGATGGGAAAAGGGATCGATTCCTCCTGACATTCTCTTAACCTAGGCAATACTTGTTCATTGCAGTAGAAGAGACTCATTAACATTTGTGCATTGACTGTATGTCAAATACTATTCTAAGTGTTTGACATGAATGAACTCATTTAGTTTTCACATCATATTGTAGATACAATGATTATACCCATTTAGCAGATGAAGAGACAAAGACATGGGCAAGTTTAGTAACTTGCCAAAGTCATCTGGTTACCAGTGGTAGGGCCATAATTCATGGCTCCAGAGGTCATACTCTTAACCACCACACTGTGTGATTGTTCTTGCAACTGACATAGAGATCTTCTCTAGCTTTGGCCAAAAATCTATGTGTAGTTCCAACCTCCTGTGATTTAGCTTCATGTTGGCCTTGTAAGTTCTTTTAAGAGGTTTCCCCTACTGGGGCACTTTGGTGGCTCTGTTGGTTGAGTGTCCAACTTTTGGATTCAGCTCAGGTCAAGATCTTACAGGTTGTGAGATCAGCCCTATGTAGGACTCTGTGCCCAGCGGAGAGTCTGCTTGGAGATTCTCTCCCTCTGCACCTCCCCTCACTTGCATGGGCTTGCTCTCTCTAAAGTGGATGAAGACATCCTTAAAAAAAAAAAAAGTTTTCTCCTACTTCTTTCTGAGAAGAATCAGCCAGGGGAAATTCATTCACTGATACTTTTGGCTGTTATTATTTATAAATTTCTTACTGTCCCTTTCACCAGAAACCTGGTACTTTTCTAAAGCATCTCCCTCAAATGCTTGGAAATGTGCTCATCTCTCTATTCCCTTGCTGTCCAGCTCTTCTCACTTATAGTCCCACACACTGTAACTATCAGAAAATCTATCTGAAAAGCAAAACTCCAAATCTCCTCTCATAGATACTTCCTCTCTAAATCACTGATACTTGAAAAAAAAAATACATCACTCATACTTGGAAATAGGCAATTAAATTGCAAGTCTTGGTGAGATGGCAGCCTCCTAGACATTCCAGGTTCTGCTTTTTGAAAAGTTATTAAAACATTCATGAATGACTATGAACCAGACAATATAAAGTAGGTTCAGTGTGGCAAGGGCAGCTCAGGATTTGGGAGAGATGGGAATATGCAACACCAAATAAAACTCTGGTAGATAAAAAGCTTGAGTGTGTCATTATAAATGAATGAAACTTGGGGATAAACTTCTTCTTAGAAGCCGTGAAGCTCAGTGAGAAGGGGCACAGAGCGATTCATTGTTTCAGGTGATTTTCTATCAGAACAACTGGGAAAAGAATAGCACTCCGATGATTCACTTGGCTCTACCATCAACTTTGTTGTTTATTTCACCTCCTTCTAAAAAGTAGAGTGACCCTGGGGGGGTGGGAGATGGGCGGGGGGAGATGGGTCTCCAGACTTGAGATTCAGTTCTCATTTTGCAGCTAGTAAATCATGAGTTTACCAATTCTTTGTTTTTCTTTACCAGCAAGATACTAGAATGACTGCAGTCCTGCCCAAGCTGGATCTCCATGTGATACCTGTTTGGCAAAAAGGCATCACAGGCAAAGGAGTTGTTATCACAGTACTGGACGATGGCTTGGAGTGGAATCACACAGACATCTATGAAAATTATGTGAGTCTGGGCCCTCCCATGACTACAACTTAGGGAGATGTCTACAAAGACACATTGTTAAGGCTTTCCTTTTCTCAAGTGGAAGACTGCTCTGATGTTGGCCCCAGGAATTATGGGCCACGGTTTTGCTCTTTCTCTTACCCTCCTGCCAGCACATAAGAACTTTTTTTGTATCAGTGGGCACTGAAAGAATTCAGTGGAGCCAAGGATTTTACAAAAGCATGTGTGTTGAGGAAGGGGGGAGGCACCTATACCAGCTAAATTATTAAAAGCCATTCAGACTCTACATCACTCAGTATTTGGCGGCATTAAAGCAATCAAATCAAGAATAATGCCTGAGCTCATTTTCACAGTCTTCTTCTTCACATCCTTTATAAGTGAATATCTCTGACATTGTGAAATTATTTGAATGAGAGTCCTTCCATGCAAATTCAAATGTACACACATAGTGTAAAAAATGGCAAGCTGAGAAAAGAAATGTTTATTATGAATGGAAAAGAAGTAGATGAAAACTACTTAATTGTCTATTAAGTACTACGTGATATCTTAGGCCTTAAGATCAGTGTTTCATCTTTATGATCGTCCCTTGTCTTTCTGTCATCTTTTCCATTCCTTCAAAATTCTCCAGCTAAAGAGCAAAAGATAAGGGAAGAAAAAGGAGAGATAAAAAGATTAGTAGAAAGTAGGAGTTATTGAAAGATATGGAAAATGTAGAGAAGAGACCATACTGGTAACAAAACTCCTATGTGGGAGATGTGTAAGTATAACAATCTGTTTGGAAAAGGAGGTGGGACCTAGAAGCTTGTCTTCCAATTTCAAGCACACTCTCTTTAATTAAATTACATGTTTATTTTGTGTAACTGGGGAAGGCTGAAGGAGATCACTGTGGACTTGAGCCCCACCCCACAGTCACTTATTTGCACCCATAACCGTGAGAGATGAGTGTCCAAGTGTAGCTAACTAGCTCTAGAGCTTAGTTAAGTCATTCAGCCTCTCTGGGTCTCAGTTTTCTCATTTAAAAAATGAGGTGGTCGAACTAAGTAAACTCTGATTCCTTCTGGTTCCAATATCCTATGAGCTTCCAAGAGATATAGGTTTGGTAACATTTACTGAGAATTGGATGCTTGCTCACTTTCCTAGGTACATCATTTATGCCTGGTTTATGGGTATAATAAATGATCAGCCACTGGGCCAGGAACTCTGAAATGCAGACTTCTGAGCTATCAGCCAGGTTGGAGGGGGTAGGGGCAGAAGGCTTGGGAAGTGCTACTTTTTTTTTTTAATGATGCTACAGGGTTATTTCTATTGTCTCTTTAGGATCCAGAGGCTAGTTATGATTTTAACGATAATGACCATGATCCATTTCCCCGTTATGATCCCACAAATGAGAACAAGTGAGTAAATGTGGATGGGGGGGATATGTACTTTAAAATGCTTTTATCTTATTTGAGAAAATTACACTATAAATATGATCCACATTTCAGCTCTCAGAAAAGTTTTCATGCACACCATCCACACCACAATATTTTGTTGCTTTTAAAGCAGAAACCAGTGCTTCTATTTCTGTATTTCTTTTGGCTTATGGGGTCATATTTTAATTAAGCTTTCTTTCTATGTTATGAAATGCTTCATTGGTACTTCAAATGGTACTGAATAGTTATAGCTTTAGAAAGAATATTTGGGTTATAAAGAGTAAAATCCTCCAGACCATCTTCTCCAACCCCAATTTGTCTATGAATCCTTTCCTATTAGCAACATATTTGATGTTTGTTGTGGAAATAAAAAGAGAGGACAAAGATAACAAATCCCCATGACTTCTTTTGGCGGCCACAACCATGCTCACCAGTTCCCTCAGCAAAGTATGGCCAGTTACCAGGCAACAGAGATGTACTCTGAGGCCTGGCCCTCAAATCCATCACATTTTCTGGGGGCATTGGATGAGTCCGTAGTCTCTCCCAGAGTTTCTGCTGGGTATTGTAAAGCTAAAGGGAAGAGAAAAAGAGTATCTTCTGACTCCTAAAATAATTCTCCCTAGCAACCACAATGTGATGAGGGAGGCCAAGAGCCAGAACTGACAAAGCAAGAGGCCAAATAAAGAGCCAGAGCCAAGAGACTTCTTAACCTTTTTTCCTAGCTGCAAAGAAACTTCACCCTCTAGCCACATGGCCTCAAGTGTCCATACCCATGTCAGAAGTCTTCTTTTGCAACATCTCTCATAACCTCAAGAAGACTTCCGTACTTTCTTCTTCATTTGCTCCACCCAGAAGAGACTTGCGCCAAAATAGATCAAAGCAAAGGCAAAATGAGGCCTTGTTGCTACGATTGGAATGGAAAGATTCTACATAAAGGGGTTAATTTTCTCTCTGTGTGGCTTTTTCTCTCTTGGACTATTACCCAACTTGGGTCAATTGAATTCTCCCTCTCTTGCCCTCTTTTTCCCTCTTTCCCTCTTCCTTTCTCTCTTATTCTCACTCAGAATTCCTATGTGGCTGGTGCAGTAATGCTGACCTAAAGTTGTTTCTTTGGACAGGTCCCCTCTCCAGAAGGCCAACAAACACCAGGAAGAGAGCTGAGGCTCATGCACTTAGCCTCAACCTCTGGGTGTATATTTCCTCCTTGGGGAGAAGGGGAGGCTTGGGGATGGTTCCAAGATACTGCCTCTTTCAGTACCATTTACTTCTAGGGCTTATTTCTTAAAGGGGTTAACTACAAACAATGCCTAGAAGTTAGAATATTCCAGTAACAGTACAACGAGAACCACCAGGGGGTACACTTGGAGGAAAGTTAGATATCTCAGGAACTTATGACAGGAGCCCCAGACAAATCTTCAGTCATATTTCTAAGTCAAGGCAGTGCAGGGCCAGGAGGACTATGTGCTCTTTTGGAGCATGACCTTGTAATGTTATCCTGGCTGGTAGTCATGGCTTTGCCAGTTATCAGTATAGAAGGTGACCTTGAAGAAATCACTTAACTCTCTCTGCCTCTATTTTTCATTTTGTCTCTTAAAATGGATGATAATGCACTTGCTCTCTACCCTCCTAAACGGAACTTCCTAAGGAAATGGGCAATAAGTTCTTGGACAAAAGGTGCACTTTATTCTAAGAAGTTAGAATAAAGTAAAAATGACAACTCTTATTCCACCTCCTTGGTCAAGACCAAAAGAGAAATCTGCTCTCAGCCATATGAGTGCAGCTGAGGAGACTGTTAGCTGGAGGTGCTAGCCTTCTTCCTAGGCAGTGTCCTCTAGGTGGGGCCCCAGGATGCAATGTGGATGATAAATTGTGTAGTGGCTGCTTGATAGCCAAATACTTGGTAAAATGATATTCTCTAGAGGTTCTCTACTCATGAGAAGAGGGGACTCAGATTTCCCTTTTTGTTCCCCCCAAAAGGAGGAGTCTTCTATCCAGCATTCATAAGACTGGATAGCCAATTCAGTAGCCACATTTTCCCCAATTCACAGAGCTCCAAAGCCTTCAAAGAAGTAGCCTATATAATGGTACTTATTTTGTGCCTGAAAACTCTGAGTTTCCAGAGCATAGCCTGCCATGGACCTCCCACATAGTGTAGAGTTAACGTGACACAGCCAAACAGCTAAGAGTATAAGCTTTGCAGCTAGATTTAGATTAAATATTAGCTCTGCCACTTAACAGCTGGGTGACCTTGCACAAATTATTTAACTGCTTTTGTGCCTCAGTTTTATCATCTATTAAAAAAGAATAATAACAGTAGCTACTTCGTTGGGTTATTATGGGGATTAAATGAGTTTATATATGTAATTGGCTTGTATAGTGTCTGCAATGTATTTGCTATGATGATGAGCATCATCATCATCAAGGCTTCACATTTAGCAACTAAGATAGGTCGACTTACGGTAAAAATCAACATGACAAGAATAATACCATCTGAGAGGAGCAGAGACAGAGACAAGTCAATTTTCTGAGCCAATACAGAATCTGCTGTTTGAAAATTACACAATAAGTAACTACCTCTCAGGGTCCTCTTGACTGTCAACCAAAAAGGTAGCATCTCTATCATTTATCAAAAGGTATAATAAAAAATAGTGTTGCCCTTCTAGCATGTTGTCAGAAATAAATCCCTTAGGTTTAGAAAATGAATGGCTCCATTTTGTCTTGGACTTTATAGCAGTTAGAGACTATTATCTCCCAATTCCAAGGGCATTATCTCCCCAAACTATCTATGTTGCTTCTGTGTTGTTTGTTATTACCATGTAAATGAGATTAATAGGAGCTGCATTTGAATTGTCCTCTGCAAATCAAAAGAGGAATCACTAAATAATAAAATCTCAAAAGAGCAGGTAACTCTTACTATTAAGCTGGCATGAATCTATATTCAGAATTTCAATACCGATTACAGATTATCTTTCTATTAAATAACATGTGTGGCAGGGGTATTTTAACTAGGATAATAGTAGTCTTTAAACTATCTTGTGGAAAAATTTTTAAAAAATCAATTTGTTTAAATGCCAGTTACTACCATTGTTCTAAGATAATAAAGGGTTCTTTTATCTCAGAGATTAATTTAAGGAAAGAAAAAAAGCTGCAGGTCTACAAAGAATGACATAGTACCACTTTGATAAAGCCTTCCGTTTTTCTCAAGGTGTGGAGGTGGGAAGTGACGGTTAAGAGGAGGGAAAAAATATCAATCTTTTTTGTACCATGATCCTACTGTACCTTTCAAGAAAATAATTTTCAATATGTAAAGAGAGAGAAATCATAGGCAGTGTCACATTGCATCATTCTTAGGACAGAGGTGCTGTGCTGGGAAAGTCTGCCAACAGTTTGATTCTATTGGCTCAAGCTGGAGATTCTGCTATCCTGGCCCTATCTCCTGTCCTGTGTACATGGAAATACAGGTGGTGGTGACTTCTGGGAACACAGTTTCCAGAGCGGGACAACTCAGTTTCTCCTTCTACAAAAGCAAAGAGAGTTAATCCATCAAGGAAGCATAAGGTTCTCTCTACGTGTTCGATGTGCACACAATTCTCAGAGAATGGGTGTGTTGGTCAGGGCAGCTTCGGTTGCAAGTGAGAGAATCCTAATTCAAAGATGAAGTAAAATGGGGATTAAAAAAAAAATTACCCAAGGGATGGTCTAGCTTCAGGCATTCCAAGATCCAGGAGCTCAAATAATATACTCTTAGGATTAGGACCCCAATCACCGTCTCCATCTCTTAACTACTTGCCTCCAATTAGCTTCATTCTCAAAAAAAAAAAAAAAAAAAAAAAAAAAAAAAGTCTTGCCTGGCAGCAAGATCCACATGGCCCATGGAACTTAAAGCTGTAGATTCCAGAAAAAGAATAGAATTCTCTTCCCCAGAATATGCAACAATCCTTGAAAGCTGTCTGGGAAGAAGAGGCTCATGATAGACTCACAAGGAATGAGGAAAAGCTACCTCCCTAGAGGAGAAAATGCTAGGAGGAAAAAAAGAAGCAGCAGATGTCTGCTGCATTAGGAAAGACTTTGAATTAAAGATAATTATATTGTTCTGACTTAGGATTCCTCTCCAGTATTAACATGAAAAAACAGAAACATCCTTTAGTAAAAGGTGACCAAGAAATCATCTTTGGTACTTCAGGAAAAAAAAAAGAGAGAGAGAGAAGTGAAAAGGAATCATTTTGGATAGTCAATTTAGCATTTGTATATTCCCTGCTGGGCTAAATTAATAGATGTCTAGTGTAGTGATGTCTAAAACTAGGTGGCTGACAGTGTTGCTCAGAACTAACTCTTCCCCTCTTTCCTATGTCAGCTCCTCCAAAACACCAACAGCCTCTCCACGGCTCTCAGGGGCTTCCACAATGGAATGAAATCATGAAATAAATTCACATTAAAGTTCTCTTGACTTATTGACCCTCCTAAGGTTGGGGGGGGTGAGGGTGGGAAAAGATTATTATCCTCAGATTTTCAGAATTGATGCTTGAATGGTGGACTCTGCTCTGTTTGAGATGGACTTTTCCCTCCAGATACTCTGAAATCATAAATTACCCTCTTTGCCTGATGGCAAAACCAGTCTTGTTCAGGCTTCTGGCCCCAGTCAGAGTTGCAGGACGACCCTGGTTTCCCAATTAACCAGCTAAAATCTCAAACTCTCCTTGGTACCAGCAAACCCTCAGTTGCTTTAGTTTGGTGGAGGATGGTTAGAGGAGGGCAAGAGGGCTTGAGAGAATTCTGTTCTACTTATCCTACTAGGATTGGTCTAGGATAACCTAATCCAAGGAAGTCACCAGACAGGGAGTGAGGAGCAACTTCACCAAAACATATATGGAGCAGACGTCATTTCTTTGAAACGGCTTCAGAAAGTGTCAGAGCTGCTCATGACAGTATCCACAGCTAACACTTCCCGAGTTCTATCATGATACCAGCCGCCACTCTAAGTGCCCTACATGCAATATCTCATATGTTGCCACAAAACCGTTGAGGACAGATAACTTACCCAACGTCACACCACTAGTCAGTGGCAGAAGCTGGAAGGTGAATCACATACTTTGGCTCCGGTACCTGTATCATCTGACACCTACACTTCATCTAATACTGATGGGCAGGGAACTGGCAACAAGGCTGACAAAAAGTTGGCGTGGCCACATACCAAGGATTCATGTGCAAATGACAGCTTGCCCTCATTTATGTTTTATAATTCCTATTTTTAATCTTCAGACATGGGACCAGATGTGCAGGAGAAATTGCCATGCAAGCAAATAATCACAAGTGTGGGGTCGGAGTTGCATACAATTCCAAAGTTGGAGGTAAAGCAGAGGGTTGCTCCTAGAGTTGTGAACTTTGAGTCTTGCATCACCTGGTGTAAATAAGGGGGGAAAGGGGGCTTTCAACAACCAGAGGAAGAAATGAATTCCATGTAAAATATGCTTCAGGATTTAAGTGTGATTTGCAAACAAATCAATAGGTCTGGATTCCTAAAAAATGATAGCTGAATATAGCCTACACATCTTTGTGGGGAGAAAAATGGAAATGTTGAAAAGCTTTTGAACCAAAGCTAATTTTCTCTGTGTGCTAATTTACAAGGGTTTGTTATCGAGTGCTTGCTAAGGGAACAGAAGGAGGAGGTAAATTTAGGCAAAGAATTTCCCTGCCTCTCAATTCTGTCATTCTTCATTTCATAGCAAATAACTGTCTTAAGAAAATAAGAGAATACATACTGGTTACATGAAGAAGCCAAAGGTTATCTTTGACAGCACAGATTCAGAGTCTGTGTCTTTGTGGGGAAACATACTAAGTTCCATTGGGGCAATTTAATAGAGGAACTATTTACAAGACTTAAGGGAAATTATCACTATAGGGTACACCTGAAACTAATATGACACTGTATGTTAACTAACTGGAATTAAAATAAAAACTTAAAAAAAAAAGAGTAAAGGGAAACCAATAAGGAACAACAAGTGAAGACAGATGTTAATCACCTTTGGGCCTAAAGGACCAAGGGGAAGGAGAGGTCAGTGGCAACTGGAGAAAGTTGGGGCCATAGGAGAGAACCACTGGACAGGAGCTGTGGCCCTGAATGCAGCAACAGGGCTTCTTCTAGGCAAGGAGGAGCCCAGGGAATGAGTATCTTGCTCTCCCCTCATCCCCCAGCCTCCTGCTGCCATCTTCCTGCTGACTGATGCCAGTGGGAAGGCAAGAGAACCCAATGATGCAGTCCACGTTCCTGTGAGGATGGGTGGACGGTGGACCAGCAGGGGCTCACAGAGAATATAATCATTGTCTCTCCGCTTTTCACTGTCCCTACCTTGGGCTTTCACAGTTATGCTAACAACTCTGAGCTTAGTTTGTTTTCCAAGCTACAATAGAAAAGATCATCTGTAGAACATGCCAATGACAGTAAAGCTCCTTTAAACTCTGCATAAGTATACCTTGAATTTGATGATGACTTCCTTTTAAGAAATCAAATGAACACGCATTGTGGCACATATAATCAATCTCTCCCTAATTCAGCACACTGTTACATTTTGTGACACTCCTGATCCCTCTGATACCAGCATTGTCAAAATTCTGTGTGTCCCCCCCCTTTTTTTAAGTGCTGTGTTAACTTTTAAAAAATGAAGGCAGAGCACAAATCAGGTAATCACCTAGAGAAAAACTTCCCTTTTTAAGTCATGATGAACTATCTAGCTATAGTTTGTGAGACAATCTTCTGATCCCTTCACTTTATAGAGGAGCAATCAGAAGGAAGATTCTCAAGGTAATAGCTAGTTTGTGACAGTGCAAAACTAAAACACAAGACTTCTGATTCCAAGTCTACTGAGATTTTTTTCATTATTCCACCCTTTGACGGTCTAGCCCCAAATGCATTTTTAAATAATACTTTTCACTTATTAGGCACCACTGACTCTACAACACATTATAGGTGGTGTACTCTGTAAGTTAACAGGTTGGATATGGGTGCCAAATTTCTGGGATTCAAGTCCCACCTCCCCAGTTTCAAGTTGTGTGACCCTGAGCAAGTCATTGTCCCTCTCTGGACTTATAGTCCACCTGTAAAAAGGGAAAAATCATGGCACCCATCTCAAATGGTTGTCCTAAAGATAGAGGAATCCATATGTTTAAGGCCTCAGCATGGTAGCTGCATATAGTATATCCTCAAGGCACATCAGCCGCTATTATCCCCATTTTAAAAATTGAAGAAACTGAGGCACAAGAGGTTAAGTGGCTTGCCCAAGATCACACAGCTAGGAAGTAGAGCTGGGATTTTTTCTTTCTTCCAAAATAAATTTTTAACCAGTTTTGTTTTAATCAATATGACTTCTGCTAATTATGTTAATTGCATGTTCTTTTACCTATGCTCCATAGTAAATAATAGCAAGCAAATGTAAGGCTGTACACTCTACTACATGATCAGCCTGAAGCCAGGAATAACCCGGTAGTTGCCTGTATCTGTCTAAATTGCTTTTGCCTTCCTGGCTCTTGAACACATGAGTCTGATGACAGGTGACAGCCTGTTAGAAAGGACAAAGAGCTACCACGTCTGCCTTCTCCTAATGAAAAATGATTCCCCCTCAGGAGCAAAATCCATGGCAATGATTTCATCCTTGAGATTATTTGGAAGAAAAGGAAGCATGTTCCTTGAAAATGTTTCTCAGCAAACACATAAAAGAATGGCCTCTGGGTTACTTTTAATCAGTGCTCAGAAACAAGCATTCTTTCCCTATTTGTTAGTTTCCTATTGTGGGTAGATCTTTTCAAGCTACACAGTGTCCCATACAGAATCCTTCGTAGGGCACAGGCTGGGCGACAGTCGTTTGTGGTACAGTCATGAACAGACAGGTCAAGGGAGGGCTGTTTGAATACCTCTTTCCAAAAGCTGTCCTGTCATTTTCAGGTTATTGGGGTAGCGAGGGGAGGGGAGACATTTTGTAATCAGTAAAGATCATGGTCCCTGCTTAGTGCATATAGTTATCTCTAGAGGGCAGGTACCAAAGCTTATGGAGGCAGTGACTTGTATCTTCCTTCTGTGCTCATAGCAGCCTGATCACAGGCACTTGAGACCTCCAGTGGTTACCCTGTTTTTAACTCTTTCGAGTCTTCTATAAAATGACTATTAAAAAAATAAAAATAAAATGAATATTAAGAGCATAATACCATTCTGCATGTACACACTGACATCCACTTACTTGCTTCTTGTGTGATTTACTGCTCAGGCATAAGAATGCTGGATGGCATTGTGACTGATGCTATTGAAGCCAGTTCAATTGGATTCAATCCCGGACATGTGGATATTTACAGTGCCAGCTGGGGCCCTAATGATGACGGGAAAACTGTGGAGGGGCCTGGCCGACTGGCCCAGAAGGCTTTTGAATATGGTGTCAAGCAGGTAAGATGCTTAACACAGACCCGCCTGAAATGAAACCTGACCATTTGGATATGAAGGAAAGGGAAGAGCACTCAGCTTATATGGAAAGAAATGGCTTTGAATTTCTTGTCGTTGCCTACACTTTGAAATGCGTTTAGAGAGCCAAATCATTCTTCGGAGGGACAGAAGTTAAGGGTTAAGAGAGTTTTCCCCATTTGGGTCTGACATTCAACAGAGATTCTTTATGCTCTTAGAATATTTACTTTAAAAAAATACTCTGGAAATAAAATTTTTAAAAATTAAAAAACACAAGTAAGTAAATCAGAAAATAAATAAATAAAATTAAGAAATACTCTGGATATGTCCTTTCTCATTTTCCTGCTGCTTTTGGATGTTTACACTAGGGACACTACTACCCAGACTTCTTTCAACTCTCTGGAAACGCATCCTTAAGTATACCTATGTGCTACTACTCATTTTGTACGTGCCCGGTGCGGACTTGTGCCTTGCTGGTGTTGCTCTGTTTACTGCATTCTTAGCAGGATTCTAAGGCCTCGTTCTGCACAGGATCAAACAAAAGTAGAAACTTTGGAGAGCACAGATTGAGAAGTCATAGAAAGAGTAGCCTTGACGAGTTGCATTCAATTGAAGAGGCCCTTTTAATGCAGCTGCAAAACAGATCTGAATAATGCCTGATTTTGTCAATCAGTCAGCCAGAAGATGCAAGCAGGAAGAAAGAGAGGAAGTTCAAAGATTCAAACACGGCGACATAAGCCAAGGGAAGAGTGCAAAAATATGAGTGAGTGCTAAAGGCCAGAGTATGGACCTGCACAGTAAGGAAAAGAATGAAAAGCACTCACTCAGACCCATGCCAGGGAGGGCCGAGGGGAGGGAAGACTGGCAGAGTCACAGCCCAGGGACTTCTCATATGCAGTCTCCTGAGGCTTCCCATAGGGAGGCTGGAGGATCTAGAGTTGAAACAGACTCCAAATAACTCTCTCTGAGAACCTCATGCATGTATTTGTGGGGGGTTTCACCGGGGTGTTCCAGTGATCCCAACCAATGACAGATGTGATCTAGTCTGGCTTTTCCTTTAGGGGAGACAAGGAAAGGGCTCCATCTTCGTGTGGGCTTCTGGGAACGGGGGGCGTCAGGGCGATAACTGTGACTGTGACGGCTACACGGACAGCATCTACACCATCTCCATCAGCAGCGCCTCACAGCAAGGCCTGTCCCCCTGGTACGCTGAGAAGTGCTCCTCCACCCTGGCCACCTCGTACAGCAGCGGCGATTACACCGACCAGCGAATCGTACGTTGTTTTGTCTGGCTCCTCTGCTTAGGTAGGAGAGCGCGGCTTGCGTTCAACAAGACCCTTTGGGCGGTACCTCTGGTCAAATTGATTTGCTTAAGTTTGAGGACTCAGTTGGAGAGACTCGCACTGTACTCACCCGAAAGGCTGGCATCTAGTGGGAAGTTTTCTCTCTCAAGGATAATGACGCCTCTGCCAAGACGATGTTGCCTCTCTGTCATTTTTAAACTCAGCCCTGAGAAGCCACTAAGTTGTCATTACATACAGCCAAGAATCCAAATGATTTTTCTGCTTGTGTGACGCCTCCCTGAAAAGAGCCTTAAAGGAGATTTCAGGGTTGCAGCGGCTTTCCCACCCTTGTACTTGGTGATCCTTTAATAGCAGGGACATTGTCTGACTTGCCCTTTAGCGGATGATAAAAATACAGAGCACACACTAGCCACATCTCCTAAGAATGGATGACCTGCAGGAAAATAACAGTCTAAATTTCCCCCAAGATGAACTTCTCAGCATCTGAATAAACAGCTCGGGAAGGTTATATGCTCAGAGAGCATCTCTAGCCCACACTTGGCTGTGCCTTCACTTCTATGAGTCAGACTGCCAAGGGCAATTATTGGATTTCCCTTCAAGGGCACAGTGATGAAGGGCCATCCGGCAGCTCTGAGAACAAGGAGAGGGACTTCTAATTCTAAAATGTATGGCCCCAAACTTAACTCCTGATATAGAAAGAACAACCGGCTAAAGCCTGTAGATTGTAATCTCAGTGGAATAATAGGTCATGATTCAATGAGAGTGTGGGTGAACCCCATAATAATTAGACATCGGAATGTGTATAAAATTCCTCTGAATGGCATCTCAAAGAAAATTGTCAGTACTCTTTTTTCATACAGGATCACTATTCTGGAACTCTGCCCATTTCTGCAACTCACTCTAGTTTAGACAGTAAAACCCTAGGCTCAACTTAAAAGCACTGGCCCCCTTCTCATGCCCTTATATTCAATTACTCAAATAATAGATGGTGATGTTCTCTCCAGGAATTGTTTACGACAGGAGTAGTTGCTAGCCTTTGAAAGAGGTGTATCAGACATGTGTCCCCCTTGTTTTCAGAGCCCCTGGGGGTGTCTAAAGTTGCTTTGCTTTAGCCTGCTTTGCAGGCTAAAAATGGCCTGGTAGGCATTTCGGTCAGCATTGCACAGACTGGCCCTCAGCTGAGCTACTGCACTCTGAAGCCCGAGGAAGTTTCCATCTTCGTAAAGATCTCTTCTTAGGTACATCAGCCAGAGGAGCGACAGCTGGTGGATTCTATTTGAGACACTGGCAATAACATAGCCTTTGTCTTACGCAAACCCCATCCTCAGCTCAGTCAGCTCTGGGGGCTTACGTGCGTCAGTAGGGAAAAAGGGCAGCCTTGCTTCCTCAGCCCTCTAAGGAGCAGTGCCACCATAACTTGCGAAATTCAGCGACTCCAAGTGGGAAGCCAAAGGAGGTGATAATAGAACAAATTATTTTTTTACACCTCCCTCCCACACATTGAAATCTCTAGCTGAAAATGATAATGTGGGAGCCCAGGTGGGTGTCTTGTTAGTAATCCTTTGGCCTGGTGACTTGCTCAACCAGCACCACTGTGGTCCTTAAGGCAGCCTGATCGGAAGTCTTTTTGGTTTCTTCCCTTCAGTCTTGGCAACCTCTTCATTAAGCTAACATTAGCCCGGGTAATTCCTTACATGCAGTAATATTGTGTAAGAATGCTTTCACAGACAGGATCTCATTTCGACCTCAGAATAGGAGTCAGGAAATGTCAACCTCATTCTACAGATGGGGAAACCAAGTGACATGCCCATGGGACACATCTACTGAGTAGCAGTTTTACAATTTGAAAACAGATCAGAGTCTAGCACACTCTTTGGTTGAAAAACACCATTTTCACCAAAGTGCAAATATGCTAACTCAGGGCCATCAAATTATGTCAACAGTGAGCGCAAACTACACACTTTGTGCACATTTTGGGCAAGTAGCTCAAGTGGCCCAAATCAGATGGTTTTGCATCCTTGTGCCGAAGAGACAGTCAAATGTCAATTCTGAAGGCAAAAGGGAATTTTGCATGAGGCAGAATTTCTAAATATGCCAGACCACACACAATGGACCTGATGATTAATGGGCCAGCATGATTCACAGTGATTTTGAAACTGTCCCTTCTTCACAGACAGCGTTTCGTTTGGGAAACTCGGAAGAGAAAATATTCATAGTGGGAGTACTGCATCCCCAGAAAAGGCAGCCTGATGCCAGAATTATAGACAAGTTGCATATAGAGGAGCATGAACTAAAATATCAGCAGATGGCAAACATCCGCCTGTGGTTTAGAGGAGGAAGTAGGGAAGCGAATCAGCTGAGTTTCCTGATCATAGCATATGCGGCCCTAGGTAGGGTTAACCCCCAGGGCCAGGGGCACCCTCCTCACATGTTCTCCCACATTTCTTTCCCTCCGGATGCTACCCAGACAAGTGCTGACCTGCACAACGACTGCACAGAGACCCACACGGGCACCTCGGCCTCGGCACCCCTGGCTGCTGGCATCTTCGCTCTAGCGCTGGAAGCAAAGTAAGGTCCAGGAAACTTGTAATCACCTTTGCTGCCTCTCCTTCTTCTTATTAACAACACATCTTGTTTTCTGAATTATGGTTACAATAGAAAACTTAGGAAACTATAAAAAATAATCATAAAAATAAGCTCTCTTCCTGTTAACCTCTCATTGTAGATTTAACACACACACATCTTACAAAATTGGGACCTCCGCATACACATAATTGTAATTTTTTTAAATCTACCCTATAATCTTTTAAGAGCACATTCTCATGGCTAAATCAATGTTCCTTGACCTTTACAAATTCATGCTTTCCTCCCAATTTCCCTCACACTCAGCTGCAAGGTCTTTTCACTTCTGTTTCTTCCCACCAGGAAAGACTTTGTGCAGATAACTTCCTGTGGGTAGTGTTGGGAACAACAAGCTCATAGAACTTCCTTTTTTTTTTTTTTTTCAGATTATATAAGCCCAGTCCTAGAGCTGATCTAACATCTCAGAGGACATGAGAAGTAAAAACAGAATTTTTATCTTTTTGTAGTATCCCATTATATAAATGCAAATTACATTAAAGTCATTGAGTTATGTTTAGATACCCTCTTTCATCCATAAATATTGGTAATTTCCTCAGGACAAACACCCCTGATTAGAATTTCTGGGTCAAAGGGTGTGGCATGTTTTAATGATTTTGGTACACATTGACAAGTTACTGTTCAGAAAGATTGTATCATTTTATTTTCCCACCAACTCTGTATGTGTAAAAGCGCCAGTTCCCTTACCAACGTTACTTTTATCATCTTTTAAATGTTTGCTATTTTGGTAGGGGAAAATGGTATTTCAACTTTATATGCTTTCATTTCACTAGCAATGAAGCTCAGTATCTTATATTCTTTGGCCATTTGTCATCTGTGATTGCTCGTTTATGACCGTGATTTTGTTTTATGGCCTTAGTTTCAAGAAGCTATTAATGCTTGGTTAGTTTGACATTTACGTTTTAATTTTATTTATAAGTAATTTTTATTGCAATGAAGTTAGTATGTATACAGATATATTTGTCCGTCCTTTTCTTTAAGCCATTTTCCTTTGCTTTCATGCTCAGAAAAATATTTACAACCCCAAATTCGATAAACATTTATTTATATGCCTTTTATTATGGTTCCTTTACCATATTTAAGTTTAAATTCCCCTGGAATTTTAGTGTGTGATGTTAAAAAGGGATTTAACAGTATATTTAACAGTATTTCGTTCCTCATATTGGTTACCCAGTAGTCCACCTCTTAATACAGAGGAAAAAATATCTAACTGCTGTACACTGTGTACCCACAGCTTTTTATTTGTCCTTGTTTCTGCTTTCTGGTGGTGAGAACACTTTAAACATCAAGTCAGATGCTCTGGTTGCATGATAGAGGAATTGGTTAAATTTGTAAGTTACTATTATCCTTCCTAATAAGAAGGTTATCCTAGAAGAATATTTATATTCTCTAGAGAGAGAACAAAGCATTCTCCTCACGTCATATTCAGTAGACAAGGTTCATAATAGCTGAAAAGTAGAATACCTTAGCCGCTGCCATAGCTGGAAAAACCCCGAAGTTGCTAAGTCTTTGTTCTGGAGAGTCCAATGTAGATTCAAGAGCCCTGGGGCCACTTGTGGAGTTGTAGTTTTGTCCTGGTACCTCAGCTATGAGATGGCCACAGTGGCTAAGAAAGACAGGCCTAGCAAGGTTTGTACCAAGAATTCACCTACTTGGAGGGGCTGGGAAGATGTCTGGTAAGGGAAGAGCAAATACAGGGGCTCAGTCGGAAACAGGGACACTGGAAGTTCTGGGGCCCAGCAGAAGAGCTAAATTCAGAATGTGAGTTTATTTGTAACAGGAAGGGAATGGACAGGGGGCAGAGTCTATGAACACAAGGGAAAATGGCGTCAGCAGATCCTTGAATTTGGATTCAAGGAAAAATAATCTAAGCACTCAAAAGTGCAAGGAACCCATGGCTTCAAGTTCTAGGCATATCACTAGCTATGTGACCTTAGGCAAGTTAATCTCCAATTGAGGGCTTAATTGACCATCTAGAAAATGGAGGAGTTGGATCATACCATTTTTTTCAAACCTCTTTCCTTTATAAGATTCTCTGATTTGAAATTGAAGGTATCAGCAAATAAAGATCATCCAACATGAATTGTTGAGTTTGGTGGTGAAAAGTCCAGAGTAGAAGAAAAGAAGTTTCAATGAAGGCAAGCAGTTTCACACAGGTGGTAAAATAGTCTTAGGATATTTATGATTGGAGGATATAAGCTGTTAATTCCAAGGAGCTATTAAAAAAAAATCCTTAAAATTTCAAGTCTTCTCTACCCAACACCTATCAGATGCATGTAAATGTAACTGGCCAGGCCTAAGCCATCCTTGTCTAGTGACCAGTATAATAGAAACACCCATCTCACTGAACAGATATAATATTAATTTCATGTAAGAACCGAAAAATTTAAAATTGTAACCTCTGATTTCTAAAATTCAAACTTTTTTCTGTGCAAGGAGAACACGATCTAAGAATCATCTAGCCTCATTAACTTCAGTTAATTTTTAATAGGTTTGTTTTAAAGCAGGAGCTTCATGGATTGCTCTGAAATAACATGGATGAGTTTCCAGCAGTTCATGAACTTTGAAACTAGATGCAGAATTGTTTGTGTGTATATGACATTTTTCTGAAGGAATGGTTTGTAGGGTCCATCAGATTCTCACACTGTTCATGATTTAAGAGAGATTAAGAATCCATGATCTCCCTGGTGCATATAATAAGAATTTAATTCCTTTCTTTTGTATTCAATCATTAGTAAGATAGAAATAATCTAGCTTACATTTCATATACTTCATGCCAAAGTACAGGGAAATTCTTGAAGTGTCCGTTCTCAAATAGATGGTTTTCTGAACCCTATTCAATTATCTATACAGAGATGATTATTTCAGAAATTCTGAATGCCAGTATTTCTAGAAGTGCCCCTAGATAAACAAGATTGGGAGAAAAAATTTAACCAAGTGCTGCTCAAGGAACAACTATGGATACTGAAGAACAACGGTGGGCTAAATTTATCAAGAATAATAACATTAGGATTTGTCAGGTTCTTCCTACGGGCTGGACACTGCACTAACCTCTTTGTGTGCAATACTAATTCAAACCCTTACAACAGCCTTGTGAAAAAGAAATTATTAGTTGCATTCTATAAAAGAAGAAACTGAGGCTTAAAGAGGTTGAGGAATGTAACCAAGAGCCCGCAAAGAGGTGCAAGTTCAGGCCACCTCAAACCCGAGCCATGAACTACTGTCCCACACCACCTCCCACAGCCCTGCAAGGGAGGGGAGATGCTCAATGGCAGTCTGCCATCCCCTCAAAGAAAGGGGCGTTAAGAAGACTGATGCTGATCAAGGACCGCCATAACTCACGTGCTCCTGAGTTTCTCATAAATGGTTCCTTGTCACAAGCAGATTACTTATTATGCTCCATTAAAGAAGACATAGCTGGAATGCCGGGGAATGTGGGAAGAGGAGAAGGAAGGAGAAAGAATGGCTCCTGGCTCAAATATGTGTAGAGGAGTACTTTCCCTTCCTGGAGGAGTGTTTCTTGAACACCAGCATAATCAATCACCTAAGGAGTTTAATTAGTAGACAGACTCCTAAATCCTAATGCCAGCCACTCAGATTCCTAAGTATCGTGTGTGGCCTAGGAATGCCCATTTTTAACAAGTATCCCAGCCAGTTTTAATGTACCTTCACAAATTTCGAGAAACTGCTGTAAAGAAGTTTTCCTATAATCTCATGCAGCTGTGGTTGTAAAGATGCTCGATAAGGTACTGAATAGGTGTATTATATATATATTTATAGATATATACAATGAGAGACAGGAATTCCTTGGACTAATGCCTCTGACACCATTATTGTTAAGCAGTCAGTGTACCTAAGAAAGATAGCAGGCAATAACCCCAGTCTTCTGAAGAGAGAGCAAAGGAATCAGAATAATTTTTAATAGAGAACAAAAATTCTGAAGTAAAACACTGAGTCCCTTTATACCCATGGAGGTATTAAACATACAGATGAGCCAATCTTCTGTTTTCATGAAAGGCTAGAGGAAGGGAAATAGGATTTCAATGCTACATAAAACCTTTGGATAAAGCACATGAAAGAAATCCTTGACTCAGAATTGTGCAATGTTGGAAAGTCCCCAGGTTAGAAAATCTTTAATATCTAGGCGTACTTACATGTGTTTAGAGGCTGAACCACGTAGCAAGATTTTTCACATTAGAATTTTGTCTCCAGATTACTTTATCTACACTAATGAGAAGCAATGCTTAATTTCAATGTTTAATTCCATAACCCTTATTTTCTATAAACATATCCTTGATTAGCAACCTAATGCAGTTTTAAAAAATTTAATTATTGTGGATGCTGTTGAGAACTAATTAACAAAGGAAGGCTGTCAGGAATGAGATGCACTATTGTTAGCAGCTCCTTTTCATTTCTGAAATGCAATCACACAAATGAAGAATAACTCTGTTAGGAAAACAAGCTTAATTTTCCTAATTGCATGACAGCGAAGCTCCCTTGAATATTTTGCAAAGAATAGGTAAAAGAAAATAAAAATAATAAAACCTGCAACTAAATATACAGTAAATGTTCTGCTATAGAAAGTCTATGCTTTGTGTTTGATTATTATAACCCTGCCTTCCTTAATACCTCGCTAGTACACTTCCTCTTCCCAACTTCCATATACACACCTGCTCTCACTGATGGTCCAAATGGGAAATTGATGTGTTTCCCATTGACCACATTGATAAGAGGCTTTTACCTAAAACTTCCTTTAAAAAAACTGGAAGGAAGCAAGAATTTTAATAAGATGCTTCATAGAACAGAATTTGTTTCTGCATTGAGAAAATAGCCACATCTGCTAAGCTAGTTAATTATTCCTTAATGTGGGTTGGCCAACATGGAAACACAATCTAAATGAAGTATTTATGATATTGGACAGATAGGAGGTCTGAATTGTAAAGAATTCTGAAGATGATCATGCTCAACCCTCTAGTCTTACAGAGGAGTCACCTCAGGCCCAGGGAAATGAAGTGACTTGCTGAAGATCACATAGGTCTTTGGCAGGAAATGCTTTGATGTGCTTTCTGTTACTCCCTATTCTGACCTCATGATTTGAAATAACTTCTAATTGTCTGAATTGGTTATATGCCTGTATGCTTTCTTCCTACTTCTATTATTTTAGCTTTGACATAGAATTGGCTGGACAGTTTTTTGACATATAAATATAAAAATCATGTCCCACCCATAGATATTTTGATATAATACATTTAGGGTGGGATTTAGGAATTTTCACTCTTTACAAGTGTAACAGGTAATTGTGATGCAAGTGGTCTGGGACCTATAAGAATCACTGACCTATAGTCTCTATGCACTCCATCAGTCATTCCCCAGAGTTAATTGTTATGTTTATCAGGAGCTGAGAGGAAAGAGAGAGAGAACTAAGCTGCCAGGTATCAGAATAGCCTATTAAAGCAATAAATCAGAAATCAAAGAGTTAAGCCTTTAATTGTTTACTACAATGTTTTAAGCAAGAGTCAAAAATCAGAGAAAATGCTGACTCCCCTGTTCCATTTTCCCCCCTGGAAGAGTGCACCAGTTGAGGAGGAGGTGAAGTAGCAGTAGACATGGGGGTCATGTCGCTGTTGAGGGAACCCCAACCTAAGGCCCTGCTAGTCTTATTGACTCTAGGGTGGGGGTGGGGCAAGAGTGAAGGCTGGAAAGAAGGCACTGGGTACTGAGTCAGAGTGGGTAAAAGTGTCTTCAAGGTTTCCTCCTCCCTCCCCCATAAGGAGGCCTTGGGCAGAGGGAGACACGTAGAGAAGACCTCTACCCCCCACCTCAGATAAGGAGACCTAGGAATGAAGGCACAAAGGGTGGGCATATAAACATGGGAAGAGCTTGACTGGGTAAGGGGCCTAAGTCCTTGATGACAACTCCTTCCAGAGACCACAATGCATGGGCTGTGCATCCAGGCTGGTGTGGGGAGGGCAGTTTTCCCATAAAGCCTGCCAGGTAGAGCCTTTGTCATGCCTCTAAAGAGATCTGAAAATCACATGTGGGATTTTAACCAAGAACCAGACTCCTCAATGTTTAAGGAGGTATGCTGCCTCTTTCTTGTCACCAGGGGATTGATTAACCAGTACATTTTGGGCTCTGGGGAAAGATAGCAAATTGAGCCAAATTCCCCTGATGGTTGTTACACAACTTAGTGCTAAGATGGAAAACCTAAAGACTACACACTTGGGTATTTATATGTTAAATAACACTTGATTGGCTTGATAGAAACAACACAGGTCTCAAAGCTAAGGAAAAACTTGTGATCTTGGAAGAATCTAATGACTAATAGCAATAAGTTTTTAAAATTATTGGGGCCACCTAACACTTAGGCACTCTCAATCATTCAACCAACCAATGTTTCATTCAGCATATACCCTAGGCCTGGCATTCTTCTGAATGGTACACATTAGAGAATCAGATAGATAAGAATCCCAGCCCTTCTTACAGCTGTTTCTAGCAAGGGAGACAGACATTAATAAAATACAAAACAGATGAGTTGCACAGTGTGTTAGAAGGTGATAAGTACCATAAAAGAAGAAAAGAACCAGGATAAGGGAGCTCAGTAGTTTGTGAGGAGAACTGAAATTTTAAATAGAGTGATCTGGGAAGGCTGCATCTTCATTTTAATGGACCCAACATTCCCAAATATGTCTGATGTATCTTACAATGCAGATAAATTAATCTTACCAAAACTTCTGATTATACCATGTCCTTGCTCAAAAATCCTTGATTCCCCATTGCCCAGGGAATAAAGTATAAGCTCCTTTTCCTGGCATGCAAGGTCTTCACTATCGGGCTCAGTACTCTATCAACTCTTCCCTGCTCCCACCAACCAGACTACTCACTGTACTCTGGACACAGCCTGCACTTTCCGCCTTGTAGGTTTTGTTCTCGTGCCCCATCCCTTTTCCATCTCTCCACTCCCTGACATTCTACCCTATCTTCAAAATTCAGACAGAACACTTCCTTCCAGCAAAGCTTTCCCAGATCTTCCATCCCCAGAGCTCTTCCTCCTCTAATTCCTGTAATACATGACTCCATGAATCCTGCATTCAGTAGATACATTAGAGTTATACAAAGACTTAAGTTCCTTTGCTGGATTGTAATCTTCCTAAAGACAGGAACCACCTCCTTTGATATCCTTAAAGTATTCAGCATAGTACCTTGCAAGAGTGATCTCAAGCAGCTAAGAGTTTCTTGACAATTTGTTTGTCTTAAATTTTAATTCCAGTATAGTTAACATACCATGTTATATGAGTTTCAGGTGTGAAATATAGTGATTCGACAGTTCTATGTACTACTCAGTGCTCATCAAGATAAGGATACTCTTAATTTTGATATATAAGGAAAAGAGGCAAAAGTATTTAAGGATAGGTAACCAGACTGTGTCCTTAAAATCTGACTCTCCCTAAGAAAAATTCAAGGCCTCATCAGGGTACATAATGTTGAAAGTGCCAAGGCTGTTAATAGACAGCAGAAGACTGAAGACATAAAGGAAGTGTTGTCATTTAAAATTTTTGTTCCACTTAAATTTAAGTAATTAAAATCAGGGACCAAATCTCACATTTCTACTCTATTGAAGACCAAATTTTACTCATAGTAGGAGCTTAACTTAGATGGGAGAAGTTTTCAGTACTGTATTTTAAATTCTGAATGAAAAGACATTCCAAAAGAAATACATACCAGAATTATGTAAGTATACTTGCAAAAGGCACTTCATTATCTACAAATAGAAGATGCTTGTTTTTAACACTTACTTGCACAAGTAAACATAATTTTGTCCCTGAAAAATATTCTGGGTCACTTCTCCTCCAGTCCAAATCTCACCTGGCGAGACATGCAACACTTGGTTGTCTGGACCTCTGAGTATGACCCACTGGCCAATAACCCTGGGTGGAAAAAGAATGGAGCAGGCTTGATGGTGAATAGTCGATTTGGATTTGGGTTGCTAAATGCCAAAGCTCTGGTGGATTTGGCTGATCCCAGGACCTGGACCAGTGTGCCTGAGAAGAAAGAGTGTGTGGTAAAGGACAATGACTTTGAGCCAAGGTAAGTGTCTTCAGGAATTTTAAAGAAATGTGTGCCCATGGCAATATTTGATTATAACGTTTGTCACTCTGCCTAATTTTTTTCTCACCTACTCTTCTGAAGTAGATGGAAATAGCATTTGCCATAGTTCCCTGTGGGTCCATGGGAATCAATGAGAGATGGGAAATCTGCAAATCATGTTGGCATATTTCCATTTTCCATTTCCTGGCCTATCTATATTCAGTTCAAGATGTATCATTGTTTTATATATTACTAAGAAAAATCACTGTCAAACTATTAACCAATGATCAGTTGTAAGATTAATCCCAAATTCAAAGATGTTATGGTAATTTTTTCAAAAAATGCATCTTAGAATTGATTAAAGGTAGTACTTGTCAACCAGTATTATCCAAAACCTATTTCCATAAGAGCCTCACTTCATGCCACAGTACTGTGTGATTCATGATTTCTCTTTTGTGAAGGATCCTCTATCATACTGCTTTTACAGAGACTATATCCAGCCTACCAGATCTGGCCAAAGAAGCAGAATCTGGAATAATTGTTTTGTTGATTCTATCAAGGCAACCATGATTTTACTAAAGACCCACTCACACAAAATATCTGAGGGTGGGAGCCCTGGGGAACATTCATTATGGAGATAGTATCATTTCTTAAGAGGGTCAATTGGAGTAATAATGGACTACTTTTTGATGGGCCCAAGGCAAACCTGGCTGAATTCAATTCCACAGCAAAAAGCATTGTATTCTTGTATCTGTGCTCCTTACCATTTTCTTTTCTATTTTATCTTATTGTGGTAAGAACACTTAACATGAGATCTACCCTCTTTAATTTTTAAGTGTACAACACATTATTGTTGATTCTAAGTACAGTTGTTGTATAGCTGATCTCTAGAACGTATTCATCTTAACTGAAACTTCATGCCCATTGATTAGTAACTCTCCATTTTCCCCTTCCCCTACTCCCATGCAACCACAATTCCACTTTTTGAATCTATGAATTTGACTATATTAGATACCTCACGTAAGTGGAATTATGCAGTATTTCTCTCTCTGTGGCCTGTTTATTTCACCTAGCATAATGTCTTCAAGGTTTATCCATATTATTGTACATTGAAGAATATCCTTTTTTTAAAGCTAATATTCCATTGTGTGTATATACCACATTTTCTTTATCCTTTCATCTGTTGATAGACATTTAGGTTACTTCCACATCTTGGCATTGTGAATAGTGCTGCAATGAACATGAGATCTCTTCAAGATCCTGTTTTTAATTATTTTGGATAAATATCCAGAGGTGGTATTGCTGAATCATATGGTAGTTCTCTTTTAATTTTTTGAGAAGCCTCTATACTGTTTTCAATAGTGGCTATACTACTTTGCATTCCCACCAATTGTTCAAGGGTTCCAATTTCTCCACATCTTCTCCAACACTTGTTGTCTTTTGCTTTTTTTGGTGACAGCCATCCTGACAGGTGTTTGGATTTGCATTTTCCTGATGATTAGTGAAGTTGAAAATTTTTTCATATACCTATCGGCCATTGGTATGTCTTTTTTAGAGAAATGTCTCTTTAAGTACTTGGCTCATTTTTTAGTCAGGTTATTTTTTTATTTTATTTTATTTTTTTTGCTATTGAGCTGAGGAGTTCCTTATATACTTTATAAATTAACCCTTTATCAGATACATCATTTCCAATATTTTCTCCTGTTTTGTAGGTTGCCTTTTCATTTGGTTAATGGTTTCCTTTGCTATGCAGAAGATTTTTACCTTGACGTGTTCCCACTTGTTTTCATTGCCTGTGCTTTTGGCGTCTTAACCATGAAATCACTGCCAAGACCAATGTCATGAAGCTTCTCCCCTATGTTTTCTTCTAGACTTACAATTTCAGGTCTTATGTTTAAGTCTTTACTCCATTTTGAGTTGATTTTTGTGTATGGCATTAGATATGCATCTGATTTCATTATTTTGCATGTGGATATCCAGTTTTCCCAACACCCTTTGCTGAAGAGACTCTTCTTTCCCCATTGAGTATTCTTGGCATCCTTGAAGATTAGTTGACCATATATGCATGAGTATAATTCTAAGTTTATAGAGCTTCTGTTACATTGGTTTGTATGTCTGTCTTTATGCCAGTACCATACTGTTTTGATTACTGTAGTTTTGAAATATATTTTCAAATGAGGAAGTGTAATGCCTTCAGCTTTGTTCTTCTTTTTCAGGGTTGTTTTGGCTATTAGTAGTCTTCTGTGATCCATAAAAATTGTAGAATTTTTTTTTGTATTTCTGTGAGAACCTTACATTTTTTTATACTTTAAAATTTATTTATAGCTACTTCTGAATTGGATTCTACTCATTAACAGGGAGAGACAACAAGCTTAGTTGAGTATCTAGTCAAGACTAATGTGTACATATTTGCCTAAAATGCAAAGAAGAAAAGATGTACTTTATTCAGTGATTTTTAAAAATGTATTTAGAGCCCTGAAAGGTAATGGAGAAGTTATCATTGAAATTCCAACAAGAGCTTGTGAAGGACAAGACAATGCCCTCAAGTCCCTGGAACATGTGCAGTTTGAAGCAACGATTGAATATTCCCGAAGAGGAGACCTTCATGTTACACTCACTTCTGCTGCTGGTAAGCTTTTTAAAAACTTCTCAAGTTTAAATCATTTGTTTAAATTTTTAAGAGTATATTGAATGATTTTTATTTTATTTTATTTTATTTTATTATGTTAGTCACCATACAGTACATCATTAGTTTTTGATGTAGTGTTCCATGATCCATTGTTTTCATATACCACCCAGTGCTCCATGCAATACATGCCCTCCTTAATACCCATCACCGGGCTAACCCATCCCCCCACCGCCCTCCCCTCTAAAACCCTTAATTTGTTTCTCGGAGTCCATAGTCTCTCATGGTTCATCTCTCCCTCCGATTCTCCCCCTTCATTTCTCCCTTCCTTCTCCTAATGTCCTCCACGCTATTCCTTATGTTCCACAAATAAGTGAAACCATATGATAATTGACTTTCTCTGCTTGACTTCTATTGAATGATTTTTAAATCAATGATTTTCTTTTTATTTATACTACTGAGTTTCCCAGTAGATGTTTTTCAGGACTTAAAAAAATATGCTTATTTTTCATTTTTCTTGGCATCAGAACTCTGCCCCCTCATTCCCACTGGTCCTTTGATAAGCAGAGAATGAGGTCTATTCAAATAATATCAATTAATAAACCTTTCTGGAGTTACACATTTTCAAAATGTTTTCATTTTCCCAGACCACTGATCTATCATTCATTTCTCTTAGGTAACACATTAGTGAAAGTTACTCTGATAGTTAATTAATAACACTGACAGATATATCAGATACCTCCTAGGAATCAACTGAAAAATTAGGAATTCTGATCCATGAAAGAGGACTGAGAAAACTAACAAATATTCCATGATGACATCATAAAGGCCATATGATACTATATACAGGCAATTGCCCTTTCCTGAGAAAGTACTAACTCAGATTAGATCATGGATGGGGAAGAGCTTATGAACCATAAACTATAATCCAACCAGGAAATGCTTCCTAATCCTCTTTCATGTTTTAGTAGGGTTCACCTGACTAAATTTTATTGCTATAGGCTATGTATGAGGAAGGATGAGCTCTCTTTATCATCTCCTTCGAGGATATAAACTTCCTAGAGGTTTGGACTTGACTCTTAATTTTGGAGTTATGCTTTCTAGATATATTGGAGTTGGCCTGAAGTATGGGTGGAATGTCTTCTCATTGGTGGCCCTAGCGTTAACTTGACCATTTCACTTAGATATAGAGAGAGCTTGAATTTGAAAATTGAGAGTTAACAACTACTACTAGTTTCTATATGACAAGAGATTACTAAATTGATATAGCTTTATTTTTTTAGGTCTACACTGAATTATAGGCTCAGGCACCAGTTAAATTTTCAAGACTTCCTCTTAAATTTAAAAATGCTAGTTCCACTAAAGGTCTTTGACTCTATAGTTTATAAATGTATTTCTATGAGCTCTTCTTATTCAGATAAAACTTAATCAATAAATTCATTCAATATTTTGCCAAAATATTTATTGAGAATTAACTATATGCCAGGCAATATGCTAATTGTTATGGATAAAAACATTTTTTTAATGAATGTCTCTATCTTGGTCTTATACAAAAAGGGAAAATTAGGAGGGCTAATCTCTCCCATTTTTCATTTTCAATTAGCAGATGCTAGAGTATATCCTATTCTCAGAGTCGTTAGGACATTCATTAACTGATGTTTGTTGCATGAAAATAGGGACCAGCACTGTACTGTTGGCTGAAAGAGAACGGGATACATCTCCTAATGGCTTTAAGAATTGGGACTTCATGTCTGTTCACACGTGGGGAGAGAATCCCATAGGCACCTGGACTTTGCGAATTACAGACATGGTAAGTATAAATGAAAAGATGGACAACCACAGGCTCACTTTTAAACAGTTTGAAGTACTTTAAGGTTGGTATCATCATTAATCAAGGCCCTAAGGAACTCTGGTCACCCCCTAGTAAAGTAAGGAAAAGGTATAGTGTTTCAATCTCTGCCCACTTGGCTTTATAGATTGGTTGAATTGATTGATTAAATAAATAAATAAGCCATACTATAAGAAAGAAAAGAAGATACATTGGTTAATAATGTTACAGTGTAACAAATCCAAGTGTTCCAATGTCAGAATGCAGCCAGCCACAGGACCTGCTCAGCCACCAGAATCACCTGTACTCACAAAGATAGTTAAATGTTACAGCAGCTTTGCTACTACATTCTGCTGGGGTCACATGAAGAAACTCTTACGAATATTTATTGCGGTGGCTGTTTACTTGTTAGACAAGATGTGTTATTTAATATGACTTATTTGTCTTGTTTTGTTTGTTATGAAACAAACTGAAAAGCATTTCTCATTTCTCTTTCACTCTGTTTACTAATACTCTTTGGTATCTTTCTAAAATTGTAACTCACAGTGACAAAAATAGAGTAAGGATTGTCTGAACAAAAAACCAAAAACATCTGAATTATCTACTTTTGATCATTTCTCCAGCATTTTCTACAGGCTAAGCACATAAATGAATAGGACTCTGGGTCTTCCCAAGATAGAAATGTTACAAGTATCAGCACCAGATTTCAAAGTCTATATAACTATTTAAAAAGAATTTATTTTAAATTCCTGAAGATTTCCATTAAATTAATACAAGTTCTATAGTCATTGTTCCCTTTTTAATTTGAGAATAGCTTTCTCCTAAAGACTGCTAAAATTGTGATTTAGAACCAGAATCTGTAAAATTCCTGCTTCCCTAAGGAGAGCAAGAAAATGTTCTTAGGAAGTGGTCCTATTCTTGAACTTGACCTCTGTTCTTTAACTCAACGTTTTTAAGGTTTATTTATTTATTTTAGACAGAATGAGCGAGCAGGAGTAGGGGGGTACAGAGGGAGAGGAAGACAGAATCTCAAGCAGACTCCTCACTGAGCACGGAGCCCATTGCGGGGCTCCATCTCACCATCCTGAGATCATGACCTAAGCCAAAACCAAGAGTCAGATGCTTAACTGACTGTGCCTCCCAGGCACCCCAACTCAATTTTTAAGAAAACTAAGAAAATCTGTTTATCAAGATGAGACTACTTTATATCAAGTCTGTAAAATCTGACTCTACATTTCTGGATTTTTTTTTTTTTAGATATTTTACATTTCAGCATATTATTTTTAGCATAATTGTTGAGTGTCTGAAAATTATTACTCTGCCCATAAATATACAGCTTTCAAGGGCTGGTTAATATTGAAGGCTATTCACAGGACTCTGTAGAGGCTTTTTTCCCCCATTGGAATGTTTCTACAAGTTGATAATTATTAAATATCATTCTATTTATAGAAGGTACAGTCAACTTTCCAAGAACAGAATAGAACATTCATATAAAGAGTTTTGCTTTTTTAATCAAATGAAGCAAATAATCAGGCTTTAAATCCTTAAACCTGTAAACTGCCATTTTCATGGCAACAGTGAATCCAGTGACTTGCTTCTTTGTACATAGTGCTCTACCCATGCAATGTGCTGAATTTTTAAATTAGATTTTATAGTTATTCCTACAGAGTTTGATGTTTCTTAGAACACACCCTAAAATTATGTGTATGCTTATTCATTAGTCTGGAAGAATGCAAAATGAAGGAAGAATTGTCAACTGGAAGCTGATTTTGCATGGGACCTCTTCTCAGCCAGAACACATGAAACAGCCTCGTGTGTACACATCCTACAACACCGTTCAGAATGACAGAAGAGGGGTGGAGAAAATGGTGGATCCAGGGCAGGTCCGTGTGGCTCTGTTCTTGAGTGTTCTTGGCACACTCTTTCTTTGAACCATAGTCAAAATGTAGTGAGGGGAGCTAGATCTAACTTTCAAGCAGGGAGCGAGTCAAGCATGAGTGGGGAGGAAAGGGAAGGGAGTGCTAAACTATTTTCCGTAAAAGTCTAATATTTTTAAGTTCATTCTTTTGTCCAGCATTTAGAAACTTAAATTACTAAATTCAAAATTATGAAATTCTCTAACATGACTTTTCTCCATTTATGACATAACAAATTGTAAAGCCAGCTCTCTTTATGCACGATCACACATGCCCAACATCTGTATTATACTTAGTTTTTAAGTGTTTTTTTTTACATTGTCTCATTTAATCAATGATCCCTGTAACCTAGAGAAGACAGGCATTAGTATGTTCATTTTCCAGAAAGAAAACCAAGGCTCAAGTGACCAAGTCCTGTAAGCTTCTGTTTACTAATTCCTTAACGGACCTTTCTTGGCAGCTCTGAGGGAAGCTACTGAATCACAATTTCTCTGAGAAAATTTCATAGGATATCTAGTCAGTCATTCCCATTCCTGTGTCTCAGCCCACTGAGATTATGGGCTTCTCCCTTATCAGACAGTGGGCAGGCACCCCATTTTCTTTATCTCTTAATCCCCCAGCATCTAACACAGTGCCTCAGATGTAGGAGGTAGGTTATCAGAATTCCCAGAATGAGCTTTCCTGACATCTGACTCAGTGACGGGTATTTTGGAAGACACAAAGACATAAAATTTATTTAAGAAACTTCTAAACTAGCTGTGTGAAGTCCTCAGCTCAGATTCTGGATCCATTTATATTCTGCAAAGTAGCTTCCCCCCCACCGGGGGCCCCACCCAAGGGCCTCTCTTCACTATCCCAGAGGCAAGTTGACTTGATGAGTATTTCTCCCTCCAAGATTCCTTAAGGGCTATTAATAAGACCTGGTAGTTGTGAAAATGTTGAATACTTCCACGATGGTTGACAAAGAGCTGCTTCTCCACTATCTCCAGTTCTGCCCTACCCGGTTCATCACCCTCGTCTCTCCCAAGACCTCTTTTTAAAACTCAGAGGTTGAAAGGGTAGCTCCTGACAGAAGAAGGGGCCTCCAGGAAACTTCTTGCACATGAAGCATGGTTAGTGCCTTCTGTGTGACTTATTAAATATTTTAATATCAGCTTCCTCCCAAAACATGGGCAGGGAGGAAAGGGAGTGGGAAAGGTCAGCTATTTACTTTTCATAAGATGAAGCTGTATTATTTTTAATTTTTTTTCTTTCATCCAAAATTTATCAACTTAAATTATAGAATTCAAATTTATTAAATTCCCTAAAATGAATTCTACTATAGCAGGTGGACAAGTGAAGGAGAGCAATACATACATCATCTCATTCAGTCTTCAAAACCACCAGACATGAAAGTATTCTTGTCCCCATTTTATAGGCGAAGTTCAGGGAGATAAAACAGGTGTCAGGGGTACATCAGTAAGTATAAAAATGAGGACCGAACCCCGAGTTAGGATGTTTCTTAGGCCTCACGCTCTCTCTGCTTCTCCAACAGTCTCCCAAGGAGTAGGCAGTGGGCATGGAATGCATCTGGCTTGCTTGGCTCTAAAGAGGAATCTTCTTTCTTTTGCCGGTGGCATTCTGTGTTTTAGGAGCAGCCCACACAAGAGAACCTGAAAAAGAGCCCCCTCACATCAAAAAGCCCCAGTGGCAGCAGTTCAGGGAGCAGAAGGGATGAGCTGGTGAAGGCAGCCCCATCCGAGGCCATGCTGAGACTCCTACAAAGTGCTTTCAGCAAAAACTCATCCCCAAAGCAATCACCAAAGAAGTCTCCAAGTGCAAAGCTCCATATCCCTTATGAAAATTTCTATGAAGCCCTGGAAAAGCTGAACAAGCCTTCCCAGCTTAAAGACTCTGAGGACAGTCTATATAACGACTATGTTGATGTTTTCTATAACACGAAACCTTACAAGCACAGAGATGACCGGCTGCTGCAGGCATTGGTGGACATTCTGAGGGAAGAAAATTGACATCAGTGTGTGGTCCTGAGTTGGAAATATTCATGCTTCCTCCTTCCCCTTAGATTTTTGCCTGTGTCTGAAGTGGTTGTTTTGGCCGTTGGTTCTTATGCTTATAATATCCTTTTGTGGTACTTTTGCTTTTGCTCCCCAAACTAGACATGTGAAAGGGATGAGCTCAGGTCGAAAATTCCACTTCCTGAATTGATCATGACTCCTTCAAAACACATCTTCCCTGCATGCACAAGTGAAATGTTTTGTTCTTTCTGGAGCCACAGTTCATTTCGCTTGTGGTCCTCACGCCACACTAGAATGCTTCCTTGAACCCTCCCATTTCATTTCTCAAAAGAAAAGGCATCCCCTGGGTCAGAGATTCATTTGAAGAAGTAATCTGCAAAGATTGAGAGCAAAGAAAACTGCTCCTATAACTTGTCTCCTGTCTTTGCCACGTGGTTCTTTGAGTTGTGAAGCCCAACAGCGTTGGAAAGTTTCTAATGAAAGAGTTTCAGTTAGACCCATACCCTTGGCTTTTCTACCCCCTAGTACTGCTCATTCAGGGAGTGGCCATTTGGTCATTTTGGGGAGAAGCTGAGTCATTGAGATCCAGAAACAGTCCTCCAAATCTGTGTTACATGGTACGAGCAGTTTTAGACCATTTTTCTTGGCTTGGTGTGCTGTGTAGAGGCCTACTGTGACTCTGAAGGTGACAGGGACTTGTGTGTGCTTTGGTCTTCCTCCCTTTCCCCTTATGGAGGTTTTTTGTTACCTATTTCCTTTCTCAGCCACAAGCTGAATACTGAGAGAACTAATTCATATTACTTTCTTAGAATAAAACTTATACTTGGGACTTGGCAAATTCCTAGTCATATTTTCTCAACGATACTAACAGGAAACCACTCATGACACAGAGAACCAATGTAAACAGGAAAATATTTATGATGGAGAGAGCCAAGGGAAGATTTTGTTGTTTTAAATTGTATTCATTCGAATAGGTTTTTCTGGATCTTTAAAACTAAGTGTTCATTCCTTACCACTAACAGCTCTTTCCCAATGTTACAACTGATAGCATTCAAATATTTACCCAATTGCTTCCAGGATTCAACTCAAGAGGACACAAACTGGCAGTCCACAGGCCCCATTTGTCCCTCAGGCAGATTTTGTTCGGCATGTCAAATGATTTAAAAATATGAGTGATTACTGAAAATATGAAATTTCACATCAAACTTGATTCTCAGACCCATTTTCCCTCCTGGCAACAGCTGGCTAATGTTGAATAGCATTGAAATCTGCCCAGCTAGATTTGAGTGCAAGGTCCCCAAGGTGTCCTGCTCCATGTTGCTCACAGTGGCTACCTTACCGGTCAGCACCCAACAAGAATTTCATTTTTTGCCACTGCTGCACGAAACAACACGAAGTGTAAATGCATTCAGGAAACAAACAAACAAACAAACAAACATCTACTTCTTTCAGGTAGGATATGTATAACCAATAACTATGAGAACTTGCCATGATCCAGTTAATTTATAGGTGGGGAAATATGGTATTTGAGACCCCGGAAAGTACCTCTGAAATCTAGCTTGATATATTTGTTTCATCTCGCCTCCCCTTGATGCCATTTATACTGAATTCATTAACTGCTAACCCCTAGCTTCCCAATTTCTAGGCGCTCACAAAGGTTCCAGTCATCTACAATGTCGGCATTCTCCCATTGCGTTTGCTGTTTGTAATTCTTCCCTAAAGTTGGGAAGAAAACCACACATGAACTAGACCAGAAAGAGAACACTAGAGTCTGTCAACTTGCTATGGCTTGAAGTGTGGTGGGTAAGACCAAGTTTCACCTCCTAGCCTACAATTTGTATTTGTGCACAAGTGAAGTATTTGCAGAGCAATCCCCAGGATGCTTCGAGGATGTTCTCCTAAAACAACTGTAGTGTCACTCTATCCTTAGAAGTTCCACATGTTGTTTGATACAGAGTGTTGGACAGAATTTTGAAAACTGCAGCACATCAAAAAACTATTAAAGCCAAAAAGGATCAGAGATTTATTAGATAAGTTGTCAACTAAAAAACAAAGCTAAGGCCCAGAGAGGCCAATGAATGGTAATAAACAAAAACTCATCGTTTCCCCTTTCCTACTCTCATGCTCACTGTATGAAGCTTTCTTTTTTAACCTTCTAACTATCTATTCCTGGTTGAAACCCCAACCAACTCATTGGACTGTAGCCAAAGGTTCACTCTAGAGAAGCTTTAATATTTAAATAAAGTCATGTTTGAATGTTTCCAACCTGGAGTATATTGTTCAGGCATAAAATATTTTTGTCAGTCTTTCTTAGTGCCTGTGTGGATTTTTGTGAAAATGTAAAAGAGGAAACATATAATATTTCCCTCAGAATTTTAAACTCTATTTTCTTTACAGGTATTTATAATGTACCGATGCTTTTATCAGAATTTTAAAAGGCATAATAAATTATATTAAAGAACCAAAAATTTCCTGAGAATAAGAAAGTTTCATCCAATAAAATATTTTTGAAAGGCATGTTCCTCTGTCAGTGAAAAAAAAAGTATAATATGTATATGTGTTGTGATATTAAAAGTGAAATTTGTCTAATAGCCTAATACAATGTGTAGCTGAGTTTAACATGTGTGGTCTTAGCATCTTTAAGGGAACTCCCACATTATACACTTGATGTATTAACCAGAATATGTAAAAATATGCTTATACATCAGAAGAATAAATGGTTTCTCACTAAGTCAAAAAGGAAAAAAGTTCATGTTTCCAACAAAGATCTCCTCTTACTGTGTTTCCCAAATGAACTGTAAAAAAAGAAAAGTTGAAAGTTTATATTAAGATGTTAATTCCTTTTGAGAAAAATGGGCTTTCTCAAAGGCAATTTAAGAATTTACTTTAATAAGCATGTTTCATTTTCCTTCATAGCTCAGTCTTTTACTTTTTTCAGAACATTCAAACTTGTATGACTGAGCCTTCACTGAAGTGTTGAGGAAAAAAAGAAAAACGAAAACTAAAGGGACTGACTATGTGTGAGAGAAAGGACTTGCAACAATTCCTCAAAAATGACTTATTTAAAGGCCAGATACAGTACCTCAACATTCAACTCTCCCTGGAGGTCACTTCATTAGAAATTTCCAACTTCCAACTTTGATCTCCCATCCTCAGGCCCACATTCCTCTCTTGCTTCAAATCTCCATCACTAGAATGTCCACCCTGCTACTTCAGAATCTGACCTCTTCCTCCCAGGGGGGTTGGTTTTTCCCCAGACTCCATTCCTTTCTCCCAAATCATAAATACTCAAACTAAATGATTTTTCAAGAATTCCAGAAGAATGGTTCTATCTGGCTTTAGTCCTTGAAATCCAGCCATCTTCAAAGTCTCCCCACTACGAGGGCTGAAGATAGCTATTTTCTTCTGAATGCCCATGAGGTAACTTTTACATTAGCCATGTGCAGGCTGCAAGTACAAATCCAAATATATACTAAGATAAATGTTAATTCTTAAATACAATTTCAAATCCATAAGGAAGAAGAGTAAGGTTTCCCTAACTGCCTCCTAATTTTTCAAGGCTATAGTACTAATACATATGATGATGATAATGATTTACTCGACCCCACACAGCCCCCGCAGACAGAGTGTAGTTTCCTGGGCCATCTAGGTTGAGCTTGACCCTGTGATTTGTTTTGGCCAATGGACGTGATGCAAGCAAAGACCTTCGATGTGCTTGCACAGTTTGGCTTGGCTGTTGCTTTCCAGTGTTCTAGTGCTATGAGAGGAGTATATGCCCCAGGGAATTACTGCCCCGACAGCCTGTTTCCAGAACAAAAGTATATGGAGCAGACCCACATTATCAACCAAATCCAGCCAATTCACCGCACGCAACAGAGCGGTCCAGATGAGGGCTGCCTAAATAAGTTGAACTTGTCACTATGGCAACTTAGGAGAATGAAAATAAATACTTGAGTCTTGAGGTAGTTTGTCATGCAGCCTTACTGAGCCAACAAAATGGACTAATCCAATAAAAGTTCCATTTGTTCATTCTATTACCAATACCATCCCTCTCTTTCAAATTGTGCCTTCCTGAGTCTAGAGCACACACACAAAAAAGAGCTAACATTAAATCATACACCTCTGAATGCTGATCCCATAACTAAACAAAGACCTTGCCCAAACTTTGAAATTTTCATTTTTAAAAGGTATGCCTTAGCTTAGTTCATCCTGAAATCAGAGCTAAGATAATGAATGACTTTTGTACGGGTAATTTATTTGGGAGATAATAGTAGAGAGAAGTGACTCACACATACCTGAGACTTGCATGAAGTGACACTTATCAGCCCAGGACCTCCCAAAGACTAGAACTGATGTTTCAACTGATAATGGCATTGGTAGAAGGTAATTCAGAACCAACACCTGTGCTCTCCTTACTCCCCCATTCCTACACCATCCAATGTCTTGATGCTTCCATTATTCTCTCACAGAATTTAGATGCAACCTTAGGGCAAGGAAAAAAACCTTGATTGGCTCAGATCAAGTTTACACTACTTATTAGAAAGGCAATACTTAATAGAAACAAAGATCTCTTATAAAAAAAATGAAGTTATTTTTCCTCACCTGGGTTTTGGCTTGCAGTCTGTGTATTTGTATAGTCTGCATTGCCTGAATATTGCTATATATAGATATTATGAAAGCGTTACTCTATCATCAATGTATGACAAGGAATTGACTATAGTTATTACTCATGGCATGTCTGAGGGAAGCAGAAATCACTTCCCTGTTTTCTTTTTTTAAAAAGATTTTATTTATTTATGAGACAGAGAGAGCACGAGCCGGGGGACAGAGGGAGAGGGAGAAGCAGACTCCACCCTGAGCTGGGAGCCCGACGTAGGGCTCGATCCCAGGATGCTGGGATCATGACCTGAGCTGAAGGCAGACATTTAAGCAACTGAGCCACTCAGATGCCCCACATCATCACTTCTTATCCAGACACCACCAGGGTCCAGCCCAAAACTCATTCTTGGAGAGGGTCTAGCACTCTCCCTACTTCATGCACAATTTTCAGTTTATAGCAGGTGTCACTTGGGTGTTCCACAGTAGTGTGCCAGTTTGTTTTGGAAGATGTAGCACTTTTTGGATAGTACAAATTTTGAACCAAAATTTTTAAGGGACTTGAAGTGAAAGAGAAATGTTGGACTATTTCAAGTTATCTTACCAGAGAGAACCAGAATGAAGAAAACCCACTGGTGAGATCTTATCTTTTCCAACAGAGTTCTAACAGGTGGATCAAGCCCACCTTGTTTATCTGAACATTCACTCTGTGGCTCTGATCATTCCTCACTAGCATCTACTAAACATGAATGAATGGTCCTGAATCTGCTGCCACTTGGCTAATGATGTTCTATTTACTTACAGAAACCAAAAGGCCATCAGCCTTAAGCTTATCAATTGATTGATGTAAATGATATTGTTCTAATCATTAAAGGCCCCCCCAAAAGTCTGAAAATGTAACACCAACACAAAGTGGCTAGAGGTGTGGGCTCTAGAGCCAGCCACAAGTGAATCTGAATCCTGGCTCTCTCATCTCCCAGTTGTGTGCCGTTGAACAGGTTACTTCATCTCACTGGGCCTTATTTCCTCATCTATAGCAAAGAAGTCTACCACTTAGAGGTTTGCTATTAGGATTGAATAAGACAGTGCAGATAAATAATTTAGTGCAGCTCCTGGACCTAGTAAAAGTTCAATAAATGTTAGTTTTTATTATTAGTGAGACTGCTGCTCTTATTATTGTAGTGTCGTGAAAAGAAAATGGACTTTGAGCCAAACAGATTCGAATTTGTAGCTCTTATCTACAAATTCAATACAAAAGAAAATATTGGCATCAGTGAAAAAGGCAGGAATACCATCACTGGTCAAGATGGTGTTGCTTGGGCAACTGTCATTCCAATGCGAAACTTCTCCTAAGGTCACACTGGAATCCATTTAATAGTAGCAATGTAGAGTGACTGCAATGACAAGAGAGTGCTCAGAGTGACAGTTGGCACTAAAAGAGCAGTTACCCTAGGCCAGGAAAAGCCAGAGCTGAAAAGTAAAGAGCAAGGAGGTATCAAGAAAAGGAAGTCATTTGTTTAATTTTGTCTTATTTTCAATCTTTTTCTTGTGTAATGAGTTGGAGTATCAGTTTTCAAATATAAACATTTTATCCAGCATTGAGAAGTACTGATATTAAAAACAATGAAAAGTAATGAGTTCTTAACTATATTCACAGCACAGTACATTTTCTAACCGAATTCTCTTAAAGATTATAAAACAAATAGGAGGTAAATAGTGTTATTGTCCCTGAATTGTATAAAAGAAAGTTGAGGCAATGAGAAGTAATGTGGTTTGTTCAAGGTCACACAGATACTCAGTGGTAGAGACGAGATTTTAACTGGGCAGTTATTCCAGAATCCAGGTTGTATACCTTATGTTAGCAAGACAAAGGTGATGTAACATTTTAAAAGATATTTATATTATGATAAATCAAATGAGCACTGTACATCTTACACTATCAACTCTTTTCTGCTATTTGAAATAATAGAAATAACTTTTATTACATCATTACTATAATATATTAAACATATATATTGTATATTTTCACAAGGATGAGTTAATTCATGAGAATAAGATCTACTATTTTTCCACAAACAATGAATCATGGAACACTATATCAAAAACTAATGATGTAATGTATGGTGATTAACATAACAATAAAAAATTTAAAAAAAGACCTACTATTTCTAATGTTTGCATTATTCTGCAAGTGAAGTGCTCTTACAGATATAGAAACTGAGATTGAGAGGTTAAGTCACCTGCCCAAAGTCACATGGATAAGCCAAGATTTTCAAACTAGTCTCTCTGACCCCATCTTTTCACTGTGTTAATCTGTTTTTAACTTTATATCTAAACTGTTTGAACTGATGCCTTAATAGGCAATCTCATGCTTCCAGAAACAACTAGATTTTATATTGCTTCTTTACTTCCAATTTTAGAAACCCCAATAAATTTAAAAGTGATACAGGAGTTGTCCTTGTCAGTCATCACTCCTTGACCTATCTATCTTGAAATAAACCAAAGTTCTTCTCTTAGGGGAGCAGCAGGTCAGCCCAACAGCTCAGGCATCGTTTGCATCAAAAATCAACCTCATATGAATTTATGTGTAGTGCAGACCCAGAGCTGCCAAACCATATTGAGAATTAGGATATTACAGTCTAGGCACAAACTCCCAGAGTTTTCTACTATGTTAGGGCCTTTTATTTCCCTTCCCATTCCTTGGCCTTCCTACGTTGATGCTAATTTGCCCTTTGTTTCCCCAAACTGTGTTCTGTAGCATATTGATCAGTGGGGTCTGTGTGCATGTATGTGTGAGTGTGTGTGTGTGTGTGTGTGTGTGTGTGTGTAGAAAAAGGATTTCCTGGTCATGTACGTTTGTAAAGTCCTGAATTAAAAACGAAGATTTTCATATTTCTTCACTATTTTTCAGAAATCCTTTTAATATACTAGAGTCCATTGTAACTCTCCAAGATGTGGATGCATTTCTCCAGACAGAATCACTTTTTCCTGGATCTTCTTCCAGGACCACTGTTAGCTCACTTGGGTAGACATGATCTCTGGCTTTCTCCAGTTAATAATTTCCCAGTTGGATTCTGGGTTCTATCAGAAGTAAGGCTTATGATCCCCACATGCCTGATCATTTCTGAGAGCTCACAGCTCATGCCTTCTCCTCCCCTCAGTGCAAAATGCTGCAGTGCCAGTCAGCTGACAGAAAACAGGTGCCAACTGTTGGCAAGAAATGAGTCAGAGCCCATCAACTGGTAACTGAGGGACAGCTGGAACTCATCTTCTTGAAGGAAGACTGTTGAAATGTGGGAGGAGAGAAGGGGGAAACTACCAGTCACTTGTGTCCATAACATATAGAGGGGTCACTGTCCCAATTTTGTTGAGGACAACTTAGTTTATCTCTGTGTCTGAGCATAAATTAGTATTTCAAAAGTATCTTGTTGGACAATAATTATATCCTGTTAGCAGTGCATAGGTATGGATGGCCTTCTTGACTTGCAGATAATGAACTTACCTAAACTGTTTTCTCCCCCCATAATCAGAGAGTCTCCAAATTAGAAAGCAGTTATCTATTTTTCTACTTGATCTCCTACACTTGGAGAGTGAATGCTGGGAAGGATTCTGGACAAAGTATTGCCCATTTGTAAAAAGGAATGTGGATGAGGAAGCCTCTCCTTCTTCATCTAGACCTCAGTGCATCTGCATACATTGTCCTGGATCTTGCCAGCTAGCTAGAAACCTCCCCTTATATAGTAAATCTATTTCTAGAGGAGCTCCCTAATTCCACAAGCTTCGGGTCTCATAAAACCTGGATCTGTCTCCTGCTCATCTTTCAGATCTAAGTCACCAAGTCCATAGACTCTATCTTTACCCACTTGTCTCCATCTCTAAAGCCACTATCCTGGTCCACCCTACCATCTTCTTTCAACAAAGTTCTCACTGGTCTCCTTTCATATTGTGATGTTTCTAAATTGTGTATCTTATCACATCATTCATCTCTAAAACCCACTGCACTTAGGAAAAGACCAACATTGACCTGGTTTGGAAGTCCTGGAAGTTGTAGCCGTAACCTCTCTCTATAGCTTCATGTCATCTTACTGTCTAACACACTCCTTGGGTATAGCACACTGGCCTTTTTTCTTTTATTGCAATGCCCCAAAGGAGTCTTGGAGACATGTTACTCTGCAAGAAATGCTCTTTCTCCACTTCCTTTCTAGTTAATTTTTTTTCTACTTGCCCTTCGGAGCTCAATTTAAAAATCCCTTCATTGGGGAAGCCTTCCTGCCCAATGTGCCAGATTAAGTCAGAACCTCTGACATATGCTTCTATAGAGGATTCATCACAAGGGTGATCGCATATCTCATTGTTCAGCATCTGTCTCTTTGGTTGGAATGTAAATTCCACTAACATCTCTCATGTTAACTTCTCTATCCTCAAGGTGTCTTAAGAAGGTGGATACTCAAATACTTAGGGACTGTTTTATGAGCATTTGGTTTATCTGCAGGGCAATGGTATGCTTTGAAAATTAGGAACTAAGGAACCAAATCCATACTTCTCAAGCAGCATGGAAGCTAGTGTTAGCATTCACTTCCTAGAGATGGAGCATAGGTACTGGCTCCAAGGTGAATTGCACAGAGGTGGTTTCAGTTCTGATTCTGTGACTTACTGCCTGGTGACACTGGATGATTCTCCCTTTCCAAGTCTCAGCTTATTCATCCGTAAAATGGTGAGAGTAATTACACTTACTTCATAAGGTTGGTTGTTTGCTTATTGGCACATACTTGTTAAATATCTACCATATGTCAGGCACTCTGAGAAAGACTAGAAATAGAGTAATGTGCTACATGGACATAGCCTCCACCCTCATGGACATGTTTTTATCCATCTTTATATCCTGAGCACTACTAGCACAAATGCCTGGTACATAATAGTTTAACACGCAATTGTTGAATTATCTAATTGAGTTCTTTATTTTCCCATCCATTTAATGTACAGTTGAAATGAAATTGCCAGTGAGTAAAAGTAGAGAAGAATCATAGCTGATATTCACGGAGGACTCAATAAGTGGCAGGCAGAATACTGAGCATGGTTCATGCATTGTTTCGCTTAATCTTCATTCAGTGAAATAGATCCACTTATTATCCTCATTTTATAGAAAGGGAAATAGAGCACAAACAGCTAAAGTCACTTGATCAAGATCAAGTAAATGGTGAAGACGCATTTAAGCACAGGTAACTTCACTATATTGATAGCACCCTTCAGTTATGTTAAACTCTAGCTGAGAATCCAGAGTCCTAGGGAGAAAGAAAATGAGAAGAGAAATTTAAAGCTCACAGAAACAAACACTGACATCATAAAATCAGCAGGAAGATATCTTTCTTTTCTTTCTCTATTTTCATCCAGATGCTTATCAAGATCTTGTACAACTTTTTATCTCTTTTGTTTTTATGTTCTACATTAGGTAATAATAGATGTAACTATGTTAGACTGTGTTTTATCTAACTTTACATGATAGGATTCAGTTCTTCAACTGATGACATAAGAATGCCACATAATTCCATGTATTTTGATAAGGAAATGCACTTAAAACCAAATTATAGTCTGCTGATCACTCTCCATACTGATTTCAAAGAATCCTGATGAAATCACATAATAAAAGATAGACAAAGACACAAGTCATATGTCAGATGCATTAATCACAAGGAAATCTGACAGACGATGAGTATCTGAAATCAAAAAAGTGTGTGAATGGCAAAGCAAACAGCCTCCCTAGGAGGCCAAGACCCATTCACTGTCACAAGTCAGTAACCAAATCCAGGAGTCATCTGTGCACATGAATGAAATATTAAACAGACTTTTAAAGCTTTGGTTTTCTTTTTGACTTCTCTTAATCAATTATTTATTTAATTGTTATTGGTCATTACACCCAATTTAACATTGAAATCAGGAGGTCATCCTAATCCACAGCTGAATATATTAACTTGCTTGGTATAGCCTCATGGTATTCACATGTAAAATTCCCCAGGAATAATTTATTAGGGTAGTGGTTCTTAAGGTTTTTTTGAAATCAAGTCCCCTGTACATTCATTATTAAGCATTCCAAAGAGTTTTTGTTGATATGCATTATATCTATTGGTAAAATTAGAAAGTGAGAAAATCTATTTATTAATTTTTAAGTTACAATAATAAACACATTACAAATTAATGTAAATAACATTTTTATGAAAAATAACTATTTCCAAAACAAAAAGTTATAAGAATGGCATTATTTTATATTTTTGCAAATCTCTTTCATGTCTGGTTTAATAAAAGAAAATTAGACTTTGTTATCTACTTCAGCATTCAATCTGCTACAAAATGTTTTGATTGAAGTATGTGAAGAAAATGTAACCTTGCAAAGACATAACTGAAAAAGGAAGAAGTATAGTTGTAGATATTCCTTCTTGATACCACAGCAAGACTCAACAAGTAGTTTCTTAAAGAGTAGATATGATGAAGACTCTGAAATCATATCAATAAACCTTTTATATTCTCTTATACTAAAATCTAATGGTCTATCTTGAACATTGAATAGCATTTTTACCCATGCATAATTCAATAAACCATGCAGTGTTATTTGGGAAACATTGAATCAATGAGTAATGCAGATATTCCACATGTTGACACATTTCATCACACTATGATACTTTTTTTTAAAAGCACACTAGTTAATATCATCACCAATCTCAGACAAGTCTTCAAGTATAAAGAATTTGTCAAGCATGTACATTATGGTAGATACAAGTTTTCTAAAATTTTAATTTCCTCTGAAAGTTTAAATTTTATCGTTAGCAACAAATTCTGCCAACTGTTTTTTTTGAAAGGACAGGCTCCCTTTAACCATGTGCAAGAAAATTTCTGCCACATATCCAAGTCAGAGTAACCACATTTTGCCTGTTGGTCATTTTTTTCTAGTAAAAATAGTATGCTATGAGAATAAAACAAATCAAAACAAAAAACCCAGCAGTTCAACTTGCATCTCAAACAATTGCACAAATCTTGTCTTCATGACAACGTGATAATTTGGTATATAGCAAAGTGCTTTATATAGATTTACCATTTTGTCAACTGAATTATTAAAAAGGTACATATTCAAGGGTCAGTATTTTAGTGCTTCACCGGAGTATTCTTGAGTGCCATTGTTTTTCTTTTTGTTTTGTTTTTAAACTATGAATGTTTGATGGTGAAGCATACAATGACTATTAGTACAGTTTGGTGCCACTGCCTTGAATCTATTGTGTTGACCATCAGTGCAAATGTTAACAAAGTGAAAAAGGCAACTAATATAAGGATTATTATGAAAACAGTTGTGGCTTTGCAGACACCCTTAAAGTTTGTCAAGAGTTTTGGGACTGCCATGTATCTACAGACTAAACTTTGAGAGGACTCCTAGAATTTCCACCACTATGCTGAAAAGAAGTAGTGAGAGTGGGCACCCTTGCCTTGTTTCTGATCCTAAAGGGAAAGCTTTCAACCTTTCACCATTGAGTATGCTGTTAGCTGTGGGCTTTTTACAGTCGGTCTTTCTTATGTTGAGGTACAGTCCCTCTATACTCAATTTGTTGAATTTTTTTTTCATGAAAGGATGTTGAATTTTGGTAAAAGCTTTTTCTGCATCTATTGAGATCATATAATTTTGTTCTTTTGATCTTTCAGCCTATTAATGAGATATACCATATTTATTGATTTACATATATTTAACCATCCTTGCATCCCAGGGATAAATCTCACTTGATCATGGTGTGTGATCTTTTTAATGTACTACTGAGTTTGGTTTGCCAGTATTTTGTTGAAATATTGGCAGAAACAAAGCTAAACGCATCACACTTCCTGGTTTGAAACTATACTACAAAGCCATAGTAATCCAAACAGTATAGTACTAGCATAAAACAGGTACACAGACCAGTAGAATAGAATTCAGAGCTCAGGAATAAACCCACAAATATAGAGTCAACTTATACTGTTGGAGGCCAAGAATACTCAATGGGGACAACACAGTCTCTTCAATAAATGTTTTTGGGAAAACTGGGTATTCACATGCAAAAGGACAAAAGTGCACTCATACCACTCACAAAAATTAGTTTGAAATGAATTAAAGACTTAAATCTAAGCTCTGAAACCATAAAACTCCTGGGGAAAAAAAAAACCTAAGTAAGAAGCTTTCTGACATTGGTCTTGACAATGATTTTTAGGATAGGACACCAAAAGCACAAGCAGTAAGAGTATAAATCAACAAGTGGGACTACATTAAACTAAAAAGCTTTTGCACAGCAAAATAAATGATCAACAAAATGGAAAGACAACCTAAAGAATGGTAGAAGATATTTGCAAATCACATACCTGCTAAGGGTTTAATATCTAATATATATAAGAAACTCATACAACTCAATAGCGAAGAACCAAATATCTGAATGAAAAATGGAGAAAGAAACTGAATAGACATTTTTCCAAAGAAGACATATAAATTGCCAACAGGTATATGATAAGGTGCTCAATATCATTAATCATCTGTGAAATGCAAATCAAAACTACTATGATATATCACCTCACACCTGTTAGAATGGGTATTACCAAAAAGACAAGAAATGACAAGTGTTGGTGAAAATGTGGAGAAAAGAATCCTTGTACACTATTAGTGAGAATGTAAATTGGTGTAGCTACTATGGAAAATAGTATGGAGTTTCCATTAAAAAATTAAAAATAGAACTATCATATAATCCATCAATTCCACTTCTGGGTATATATTTGAACAAAATGAAATCACTGTCTTGAGGATGTACCCTCATGTTCCCTGCAGCATTATTTATAAAAATGAAGACAGGGAAACAACATAAATATCCACTGACAGATGAATGGATAAAGAAAAGATGATATACATATATTCAGCCAGGATTATTCAGCTAAAAAAGAAGGAAATTCTGTCATTTTTTTTTTGATCTTGACATTTTAATAGATCCACTTGACAAATATAAAATCATGGAATATTTATAAATGTTCCCTCCTTAAAAACACAGAATGCAGAAAAATCTTTATCATTAAAATCACCTGCCCTCTTAATTATTCTTAGATTTCTAATGGTGTGGACTCATTCAAACACAGTTTGCATTTTACACAAATATATGGACTTAATCCATTATTTAACTTCACTTTCAGATTAGGATACCTAGGAAGTCCAAGTAGCCAAATATTTTATGTCAACAAGATTTCTGGCATCCCTCTACTAAACTGTGATTCTTGATCATTCTTCAATTATCATGATATCTAAGTGATGGCACATCAACAATATAAACAAGCCATAACATTTGGAGTTATGGTTATCATCTGAATATTCTATTTCAATGATGGTACAATGGATTGAATGTTTCTGTGTCACCAAAATTCACATGCTGAAATCCTAAGCCCCAGTGTGATAGCATTAGAAGGCATGGGCTTTCAGAGGTGATTAGGTCATGAGAGTGGAGCCATCATGAATGGGATTAGTGCCCTTCTAAAAGAGACCCCAGATAGCTCCCTAACCCCTTTTCCACTATGTGAAGATACAAGGAGAATTCTGCAATCCAGAAGAGGGCTCTCACTGAACCCAACCATATTGACACCCTCATCTCAGACTTTCATTCTCAAGAATTGTCAGAAATAAATTTTCATTGTCATGAGCCACCCAATGGTTCTTTGCTGTAGCAACCCCAACTAAGACAGGAATTGCTATAAGTGGGGGTGCTACTGTAACAAAGACCTAAAAATGGAGAAGTAGATGTGGAACTGGGTACTGGGTAGAAGCTGGAAGAGTTTTGAGGTGCATGTTTGAAATATGGCCATTGAGGGTGATTCTGGTGAGATATCAGAAAGAGAATACCTGAAAGAAAAGCTATCATCTTTCTAGATACATAAATAATCCTGTAGAGAATGTTGGTAGCAATATGGATGGCAAAGGTCATTTTCATGAAATTTTCAGTGAAAATGAGAAACATGTCAAGACAAGGAATAACAAGGAAATTCTGCCATTTGAGAGGATTTGGATGAACTTTGAGGCATTGTGCTAAGTGAAGTCAGAGGCAGGGGGCCAGTGAGGGGGGACATTAAGGTGGTCTAGGGATACAAACTTCCAGTTATAAGACAATAAGTTCTGGGGATCTAATGTACAACATGATGACTACAGTAAATAATACTGTATTTCTATACTTAAAAACCGCTAAGAGTAGATATTAGAAGTTCTCAACACATGAGCATGTGCACATGCACACAGACAAATATAACTATGTGAGGTGATGGATGTGTTAAATAACCCTATCATGGTAATCATTTTTCAATATGTACATCTATCAAACCATCACATTGTACACCTTAAACTTAAACAATTTTTTTAAGATTTTATTTATTTATTTGGCAGAGAGATAGAGAGAGAGAGCAAGTAGGCAGAGAGGCAGGCACAGGGAGAGGGAGAAGCAGGCTCCCCGCCGAGCAGGGAGCCCGATGCGGGGCTTGATCCCAGGACCCTGGGATTATGACCTGAGCCAAAGGCAACCACTTAACCGACTGAGCCACCCAGGTGCCCCAAACTTAAACAATTTTATATGTCGATTATATCTCAGTAAAACTGGGGGCGGAAGGAGCCAATAATAAGTTATCCCAGATGATGATATGGAAACAATTTTTATTTTCTTCCTGCTATTTTACAAGCTCTTAAAGATACTCAAGAATTTTTCCCCATTGCCTTTCTTTTTACCACTGTGGAGAAAGTGAAGGGGGGAGAATTCCATATTTTATCAAAAACAAAAAAAAAAAACCTTCCAAATTTGAAGACCTCTGAAATCTATCAGATTCTTTTATTCTATGGACACTGCAAATCTTCCATTTCCAATGCTCATCTATTGTAGCTGAAGTTAAACTACTTCTCTATTACCATGTTTTGTTTCCATTATTCTGGTCAGGAGTCTTTAGTTGCAAATCACAGGATAATTTCTAACTAATTTAAGCAAAAGAGGATATATCAATGCATATTAGGAACTTCATCAGAATCTCAAGGACCACCAGAGAGCTAGACTTAAACTGCTAAATAGCTAGTAATAAAATACACAAGAACCATGCCCATCCACTGTAGGGAAATGTCCAAGTGAAAACAACAGGCACTGAGCACACCTGGTACTAGGTGCTAGACATGCCACTACTTAAACCCAGAAGACCTGGAAGCCCTCTGCCCTCTAGCAGGAAATGGATCTGTGTGTGACCATATCCTAACACTGCTGCCTTCCTCATCCATATCTTGTCTGGGTAGCATCCAAATGGGGTAATCCAGGTCATATGCTTTTGTACCTTAAGGGATTCTGATGCAATCTTTTGCATATCATGACAAAGCAAGACTCAAGATGTGGAAGCTATCAAGACCTAAGAGTGTTTTCAAAAGATGTTGAGCAGCCATAGGGGCCTATTGTACTCACTGACACAAGGATTACTCAGATTGAAGTAGATAATATGATAAGTCACAAAGAAGGCTTGGGACAGTGTTCTCATGGTATAGCATTCCCATTTCTCCTCACTTGGAAAGGGCAAATCAGAAGTTCTTTCAGTCCACGATGCTTCCCATTATACCTTCTCTATGTCAAAAGTTCCAGAATAGATTCAATATCCATATCCATAGGCATATAAAAGTTTTTCTAAGATACCCTTTTCTAAAGGCCTGGCTTGTTTTCTGGAAATAGATCTGGTCCTAAATATTTCCTACTGTTTTCTCACTTGTAATATCAGCAAAAATCAGATAAATATAGGGGGAGAACATTCTGAATCCAAAAAACCCTGCATTTGGATTGGAAAACATATGGTTCCAGCAGACATTGCTTTGGTACCATGGAAACTCATCTTTTTTTTTTTTTTTCCCACCAAGTATATTTGAATAGCTGGCAAGCATCCAATTTTGAGCAGAGCATGATGGGTTCTCTACATGAGGTGTCCCATCTTAGTGTTTTTACTAAAGTTTTACTGAAGTTTTATATCAACTTCATTTGCTAAATTGAACAGCAAATCCTACTACCCGTACTCAGAATAGGCAAAATAGCCATGCTTTTAAGCAAAAACAACCAGTTCAAGAAGATAGCAGGCAAGGCCAATGGTCTCTGGCATCCTGATAGATTGAAATTTCATATTCAGGCTTCTTCCCACCACCAAAATAGGAAAAGAATCTCTCGAGTACTTCCTCCACTGAGTCAAAGAACGACAAGACTCCAACAACTCAGATTCCACCAGTATGATATCACATGTGCCATGGCCAGTACCGCCAGCCTCAGAGATGACAAACCCACTCCTGTTATGCTTTTAAATATTACAATTCCTTTCTTAAATGTGAAGTTACTCACAAGTCTGTCTTCAAAAGGAGTAGCTGTTCTTATTCCCTTTGGAAATGTCCACAGGGCTACAAATCTTCCAGTGTATTAAACAATTTTCTAAAAGCCCTCTACCTTACTAAGAGAAAAATCTGCTGTTCCTGAAAAAGACAAATAGCTATACTCTCTGTGGAATATTTTTGGACAAAAAGAGAAGATTAAGTTAGAGAGTTCTATTGCATTTGTCTACCTGTTTTGGCAGAGAAAATCAACTCTTTGTTACAGAACCCGAGATATTTCCTGTCCTACACTGCGCCTTACTTAAAGAGCCTATTACCCATTATAAACAGTTCCTTGGTGTTCTCTGCCATCTCATTCCCAGCTCTCAAGTAGAAATGATCCCGAAGCCTTAATTGCTTTTCATAGGTCATCATCACTGTCATCCAGTGCTCTTTTTGGAGCAAAATTTTAAAAGGCATGTAACGTAATCAGCTGTCAGAGTGCTCAGTTTTCCTTGTAAGACAATCCTGCCTGCCAAATGCAAAGTATTACAGTGGAAAGATACGCATGCCTGAATTTAAGCAGATGTTAAGGGCTTTTTCAGGAGACAGAAAGCATAGAAAGTGGAAGATTAGCTCAAACCGAGGCGGGGCGGGGGGGATGGGGGTTCATGCACCAATTAGCAAATAATTTCCTTTCTAGCTAAGCCTGGACATTTCACTAAATAAATTCAAAATGAAATGCCAAAGCCAGTAAGCAAAAAACTGCTGCAGTTCAGCTTAGACTGATCAGAAAGAACAAAGAGAAGGATGGGCTGAAAGTGGGATTTCAGAGATGTGAGGAACTGAGCCTAACTGTGAGCTGACAGGAAGCATCACCTAGTGGCTCCATTCTTGTTTCCCAAAAGCTGGGTAGAGACATAGATTGTCAGGAAATCAGGGAAGTTCTATTTCATTGGGTTGAATATACATCTGTAAGACATCCAAGAGCTAATTTTCTAAGAGGATGATGCAGAAGGTACTTTCTTTAGTGTGCACTGAAACTAAAATTAAAAAAGACACTTAATCAAGGGCAATTTCTTGACAAAAAAATCAGAAAGTGAGAGGAATTTATATCAGTGATGACAAAGGCAGCCAAGTATAATGCCTTAGTATTAGCATATAAAGTACCTTTTACCTCTGTCTAAATTATATATCCTGTTGTGTTTAAGGATTTTGTTTCTGCTTGTCTTCGTTTTTATTGTATTTTTAACCTATATATCTAATGTGTTATTAAAAGACTAACATAAATGAGAGGGAGGCAAACCGTAAGAGATGCTGAACTCTAGGGAACAAACTGAAGGTTGCTGGAGGGGAGGTGGGGGGATGGGGTAATTGGGTGATGGGCATTAAGGAGGGAACTTGATGTAATGAGCACTGGGTGTTATATACAACTGATGAATCACTAAATTCTACCTCTGAAACTTAAAAAAAAAAAGGGGGACTAATATAGATTGGCCATTTAGGCTTATGACCAAAATTCTTCACAATGCATATATATAATTTATTCATAATTTCAGCCAGAGGGTATTTATTGAGCACCTACTGTGTGATAGATAGATGGTATGCTAGGCAATGGAGACCGAATACTCAAAATGGTTCCTTCCTTCCTGAAAAGTATAGTTCAACAGATGAAAGAGACACAGAGCCTCCTTACCTCAAGATGAAGAGACATGCTATTTCACACCTTGAGAATCTGGTCACTTTATAAAATACTTCATCAGGATGTCACTGGCAAAAATGTTTCTGGAAGAAAAAAAGAAAGGAGGCAGTGTACCATGAGGAAGATAAAATAAACGTGAATATGCTAAGCCTCTGACCCATACCTCATTGACATTTGACAGCAATCTAAGTAGACCTACCCTCTCCCACAGGATTAGTCAAGTATCTACAGCCAGTGGGGATTTTATTGACTAGCCTTGTTAATGACGACCTTCCTGAAAACTTTGCCAGAATGTCTGAGGGTTTTCCCCCCCTCTACCTTTCGAGGCAATCATGCTTTATCAGCTTTTCTACATAATGACATATGGAAATGAGCCAACCATGGAAAATGACTCCATTTACTTAGCTCTGAACTACAGATGGCCTGGTGAACACTGTGAGCTAATGGAAAACTAACACATGCTGGTCCAGGTCAACAGCTGTTTCCATTGTAACTGCGGCCTGGGAGACACAGGTGCATTTCATGGGCCCTTATGTAGACTGCCATCTGCTCAATAAATGTTTTACATTTCCTTTAAATATGAAGATAAATACCAGAAATTGGAAGTGTAAGTCAGTGTATTATGGACATCAACTTTGTTTCTTTTAGGCCCACATGGTTGGAGAGCCCTCCAATTGGATTTACATCATGAATAGGTAAATCTATAACTTGGCACTTCAAGCTTTCTCATTCTTCTATGGAAGAAGCAGGAATATATACTTCTTTTGGTCATTTTGCTTGAAGGTTTGTTATTTATGTACTCATAACTTCAGCACAACAAATCTCTCTGGAGTAACAGTTGGACCATGTAGTAGAAGCAGCCTGGGTGGGCACTTATAATCCAAACTCTCTTCTGTACCCCAACACAAATATGGAGATGGCACAGACAAAGCAACAGTACTCTCCATTCCTGAGCCTACACCTTACTGTGAATCAGTGCCCCTCTCCCTGTGAATTTCAGTATTGTACATACATAGGCTAGAGGCAGTAGTAGGGGTGAGAGATGAAGAGCCAGTCTGGACCTGGAGGGGTGTTTGGCAGTTCCACATTGTTCTCTTTAGTTTATGGAGGTTCATATTGCCTATTGTCTCCAGTTTGGAGCCTTTAGCTAAAACTGTAAGATAATAAAAACAATTCCATTCAATGTCCTATTATCCTTGTTTGCTTGTTTCTTCTCTCTCTTGCTCCAGAAATACCCAGCAGAGACCAGGTCTATTTTAGTCACAGGTTTATCCTCAGAGCCTCGAATAGTGCCTGGTATCCATCTGTAAGATTCTGGTCCTGGTTCTATGACTGCCTGACATGGTCTGTTTTGGGGCAAGTCATTTAAGTTCTCTGGTCTTGAGTTTTCTCACTATTAGACTACTTTCATACAACAAACTATAAAAGATATTCAATACCTCCTATAATCACTTCCATATCATTAGGAAAATGTTGATAATCCCTAGCTGTTTGGCTCCTCTTTTACTTAGTTTGAACTATAGGAAGTCACCTTTTGAAGGTCAAAAAGCAGTTGAATAGCAGACATTTCCTATGATTTAACCTAACTTATCACATAATTTCTTACTGAGCATCTTCTATGTACAAAGCATTGTCAGACATTGGGGATATAGGAGTGAACAAAGAGATAAAGCCATGTTTTCATTGACCCTACATTCCAACTGGAGAAGACAAAGAATAAACACATTAACAGCTGAGAATATGACAGGTCATGCAGTAAAGAGGGCTAAGAAGGAAAATAAAGCAGGACAAAGAGAGAGAGTCACTTGAGGGAAGAAGTACCAAACTGAAAAAAAGGGAATTGAGTAAAATTTACCTACTGAGTGTTGAGTGGTTGAGACTCTCAGCTATCTTCCCTTACTCCCATATTTCTGGCAGTGGTGTAATTAGACATCAGAAAGGAGATTAAAAGGGGATTCTTCTATAAAGAATATGATTACCCCAAAAGAAAAGATCTAGAGGGCGCCTGGGTGGCTCAGTTGGTTAAGCAACTGCCTTTGGCTCAGGTCATGATCCTGGAGTCCCGGGATCGAGTCCCGCATCGGGCTCCCTGCTTGGCGGGGAGTCTGCTTCTCCCTCGGACCCTCCCCCCATCTCATGGGCTTTCTCTCTCATTCTCTCTGTCTCTCAAATAAATAAATAAAATCTTTAAAAAAAAATAAAAAATAAAAAAAAAGAAAAGATCTAGAGATGCATGTTGCGTGTTCACTAACAAAATGGCTCAGCCAGGTTATATTAGAATGAGGCCCAGTCCCACAAGCTTCCAAAAGAGCTTTTTAGTGTCCAACACTTAAATATGAACAGGTATCTGGGACTGACAGATATTTGAGGAGACCCACTAATCTCAAGGTTAGAAGAGAAAACCAACCAGCAGAAACAATAACTTAGAGGAAACAAAGTCTTCACAAGGAGAAAAAAATGTCAACAAATTTCAAAGTCCTCAGAGATAAAAGAAATAGATACTTAACCGTTTTAAAACACATCTGGATAAGACAATTTTAAGAAATGAAATATATGCTATAAAAAAGAAAAAATCCAGCAAGAAGGTTACATGATAATCTTCCAGGAAATAAGTAACAGAGAAAATACAGAAAAGTAAGCAAAGATGAGAAATCAGAAATAGAAAAAATACATAAAATATATATGTAAAAAAGGACAATAATCTACAAGGTCAGTATTCCAAATAATAAAAATCTAAAGAGAGAGAAAAGAGAATATTGGGAGGAGGGAATGAAATCAGTTAAATAATTCAAGGAATTACTGACAAGTCACTGTGAAGTTTCAGAACCCTGGCCACAAAGAAAGGAGCGCTTTCAAAATAGGGAGAAAACAGAGTTCACCTAACAGCAATACTGGACTTTAGGAGAAAAAAATGGAGCAATATTTTTTAAATACTAGGAGAAATTCTTTTTAGCTTGAAATTTCATACCCAGGCAATTAAATGTAGGGGAGAATAAAATTATTTTTAGACATGCAAGCTTTCAAAACATTACTTTGAAACTTCCCGGAAAAGTAATACAATGAGCATTCTACACAAGGAAGCAAATCAAGAAAGAACATGTAGGATCCAAGGAACAGGGGTTGTTGAGAGAGTGATCAAGACTCCCAGGAACATGGTGAAATATATATATGTATACCATATGTATATATACACACACACAAATATGAATTTACATGAGTATGTTATTCAAAGAAATGAAATTACCATATTTCTTCAATTCTGAGAGACATTATCTTTTCACATTTCAACATCCCCATATTTAGGATAAGTCTCAACCCACAGTGGTCACAGTGTAACTGGCAGCATTTTTTGCCTTGTATAAACATAGCCATTGTTAATTTAATGAAATGTGGTCATTACTAAAAGAATCAGATAAAAGAGTTCAACGTGGCTGCCTCTGGAAGCAGTAAATGGTGGAGGGAGAGGTGGTGGCATTAAGGGGCTGTTTTAACAAGGAGAAATTATTTGACTCTTTAAATTATGTATACTTTATTTTAAAAAAAGATGTTAAAAAACATCCTGTTGGCTGCTTTGTGGAGAAGTGTCTCTAAAAGAACAAGATTAGAGGAAGGAGGTGAGTAGGGGCTCTTGCTTTGTCCAGAAAGGGACTGGTGACATTTCTCATGTAACACAGTTAATTAAACTTCACCAACCCCTGGAAACAGTTGACTGGTACATTGCTAGTCAATGACATTATGCCTAATTCCTTGGCGCTCCTACACACACACACACACACACACACACACCTGAAAGCAATTAAAGAAAAATACATTTGAGTTAGACGAAGCAACTTTTGCTTACTTTCTTCAGAGTAACCCTAAAATCAGGCCTGGATTTTAACCTCTCATCAGACTTTTTTAAAAAGTGAGATAGAACTAAATTCTATACCTGAAACTAATAGTACACTGTATGTTAACTGACTGGAATTTAAATAAAAACTTGAAAAAAAAAGAAAGAAGGAATAATTTAAATATATATGTATATTTTTAAATATATATGTATATATATTTGCTTTTTTTGCAGAAAGAAATACAGAAGGGATAAATTATAAACCATTGACAATATTTATAGGTGGGACTGGTAGGAAGCAGGTGGGGTATATGTATAGGAGGGAGAATTCTCTGAGTCTACCTACTTAAATGATTTTGACTTTTGAGTTGTATGTATTTTTACATATTCAAAAGAGAAAAATAAATGAAAGGATAAAAAATGAGATAATTGACATAACATTGTGTAAGCTTAAGGTATACAATGTGTTGACTTGATACAATTATATATCATTATAATGAACAGTACTGCATTATAAAATTCAAAATTGTTAAGAGAACTAGATCTTAACTGTTCTCACACCATACACAAAAATCAAATGATAATTATGTGACATGAGAGAAGTTAGCTAATGCTATGGTGGTGATCATATTGCAATATATACACATATCTTATCAGATTTTTTAATCCACGTTTACACAGTTCTCTTTGAAGAATACTCCAGAGACACAAAGGAAATCTTTTCTAACCAAGAAAACATAGATCAATCTACTAAAGTCTTAACCCCTTAGGGAAAAGCTCTTTGGGGACTTCTTTCTCGATTTCTAACCAGTCTTCAAGTATCACACTTTGCCCACCTCATGGGGGATGGGCAGGTCTGATAGACTCCGCCAGTATTCCAAGTGTAGAAATGATCCTCTAAGATCTGAGTGGCAGAATGGAGAACACAGGAAAAGGCTAATCTCAGATGATGAGTCAGCAAAACACTCAACCAACAGTTGTTTCGGTCTCTGTGGTTAGAGGCATTTCTGTTCTCTCTGCTTTGATCCTTTTACAAAATCTGCAGAATTTTCCATTTCTTTGTACATTTATTATTTTGAAGTTCCAATTCCTCCACTCCCTTCTCTATCCCTAAGCACTTAAAACAAAATATTTGATCATTTTTATAGCAGGATGTAGTTAAACATAAAAGAACAAGTGGGTTATTTTCACCTATTTCTAGTGACATTTTAAAGACTATTTTCTACCAATTTTTTCTTGTTACACCCACACTAC